CCATACGTAGGTTAGTGGGGTGATGACCTGCAGAAAGAAGCCCTTTCCTCAAAATCTGATGATTATTTTCTTTCTTGGAAGCATTTAGCCCCTTCTCAGCGTTGTAATCCCGGTAGGGATTTCTTTGTCCTGTGTAGTTTTTCCTGTATCTAATCTCATTTGCTTCTCAACTGCCCTTAAAATTCTTCTTCTCCCTTCTGAAGAAAACAAAGTTAACGTTATCTGTTGACAATCAGGCCAGGTGGGCCGTGAGTCTCAAACAGCGATTCCAGCAGAGTAATCAAAGCCCAAGTTTGCTCTGAAAAGGATTTTGAGTTCTCCAACTGCAGAATGAGGGTTTCCCCAGCTCCATCACAGCAGCCTGCTGGAGAGGCAAGACTAGGACAGGACCTGAGAGGAGACTTCCTCATCCAAATCTGTTATCGGCTTGGGGGAAAGTTGCCCGTGCTGTCAAGAGCAGAGAGCCACAGGGTCAGCACTGCAGCTGGGGAGGAATCTCCTGCTGAGGCAAGCCGTGGGGGAGGTGTGCGGCTGAGATGGGAGACAAAAGGGAGGACCATCCTCCTCAGGGGCTGAAGGCAAAACAGGCAGTTTCTTCTTGGGGAACTTTTCCTTAACTATCGGAACTTGATCTGGGAATCCACAAACACACATCACCTTTAAATTTTCCACAATTTTTAACTGTGCGTAAACCAGAATGGTGGGTTTACTGTCCACTGAGCCCATGATAGCTCAATTTAGAACAAAGGGAGAACACCTTACCTCTGCAGGTCTTTCCTCCCACACTCAGCCAACAGCCCAAAGGAGAGCCTGAGGCTGCAGGGACCTGAAGTTGTGGGTGTATTTGGGAGAAAAACACACAACAGACAAACAGACAAACAAAGCAAAATGATCCCGGGAATCAGGAGTTGCCTCCGACCATCACTTGAAATCAAAATTTTAGAGTCCAAAACTGACCAAATCCAAAACAAACTCAGAGACAAAGTCTAAACAGTCTCAGAGACAAAACTCTGAACAAGTTCTCAGCTATGCTCAAACCAAATGGCTGCCATGTCTGGGAGCCCAGGCCCATCAAATTCTCAGTCTGGAAAAAGAAACCAAAGGCAAACAACAGAATCCAATCTTAAACCTTACCGAGGTCAGAGAGGGGAGGTTTAGTCATTCCCTTTTGCAACCTTAGCATCCTGCTATGCGGCCATGCCCAGGTGGCAAGATGAAGTCAGCCAGGGCACCCTGCCACCCAAGGAGTGGTAGCAAAGCTGGGAGGCTCAGGGCCTCCTCAAGCAAGGGTTCTCTCTAGTGAAGCCAATCTTTTGCTCAAAGCCTCCAGATGATATGGCAAGTGAGTTCATCCAGAACAGCATTCACAAGAAACCGAAAGAGCAGGAACAAACAAAGCTTATTTGAGCCGGCTGACAGACTGTCTCTAAACAGGAGCCAGAGAAGATGTCCACACCAATCTGAGTCTCACCTTCAGTTTAAGTACATTTTGGGTTTCCACACATACCACTACCTCATTTTTTGGTAAACTCACAAGAATGTCACACAATTATCACAAAGTTTGTTTCTCCCAGAAGCTGTCAGACAGCCAGATTCCAGATGACCACTGCAGTTTAACTGTTACCCTACTTTCCAATTTGTTCTGTTTGTTCTGTTCCATTTTATGACTCTGTTCTCCTTTAAATGGATTGATAACTAACCAACGAAACTGGGGTGAAGAGTCGGGTTAACTACAAGGGAAAGTGAAGTTTAAGTGACTTTCCTTAATATGGAGTTAAAAACAGAAAAACAGAGTCTCTCTTGACCTATCATTACAGCTGCAAGAAAATGAATGACAACATAGCCTGACTGAATGCTTCATTGCAGCTCATGACAGCCTTGGTGAAATATTCAGCTACACCATGGTCAGTCTCCTGACCATAGGAATCTACAAAATAATATTAAAGTGCTAAATTTAAGATAATGTGTTATACGGCAATAGAGAAATTAATACAGAAGGAAGTTTCATGGTGTGTCCTCAAGTGTATGTCCATCCTGCCTTTCCTAGACAAATAAAAGCTGGAATGTCTACTGGACATGTTGTAAAGTAAAATGGTAGTGGCCTGGAAAGGAAAAATAGATCTCTCCATGTTGTAAAGGAGATATAAATGTAGGAATATATAGATAACTATTCAAGTGTAAGTAATTTACCCTTAGCTCTTAAAGTGAATAACTGAAATGCTTTTGCTCTCATGTATGAAATATGAAATGCAAAACTAAATAAAATTGATATATCTATGCTGGACCATTGGGCAGCTATCCGGGAATGAGGAGTAATTATCTCCATTTTGACTGAGCCTGACCCTACTTCCAGGTATTGATATGTACCTTGCTGGCTAGGACTTTTTCTTATCCCTTCAACTGGCATTAAGCAATGCATATCAATCCAACCAAGGTGCTGATGATAGTCTTTGAAGATGGCAGGCAAATGTCCCCAGACTGCCCATTGCTCCCACGCGTGAGCCAGGCTGAGGAGGAATGGGTAAGCCACCGCTCCATGCTTTTAGGGGGGACTGAGCCTCAAAATAGAGGCTATGACTTCCTGGGGCTTGAAAGATTACACATCTGAGCTGAAACACAAGCTGAAACGCTGACCCCAGAACATTAGACACTATCTCAATTGTATTGTGCAGATTACTCTTCCTGCATATCCTTCTCTCTGCATTTGCAGAGGTGACTTCAGGCCTCCTGCCTAGCCCAGCTCAGGGCACTCATGTACTTCCCACCACTCTCACAGTCACTCATCCTCAAGCCGCTCCCTTCGTCACAAATGAATAAAATCCAGATTTGGTCCCGGGTAAAGGCCTTGGTTCCAGATGGCCAGTATTGTGGCTGGACTTAGGACTCCCTGACTTCCCATAATTACAAATATGCCTTAATGTCTTTAATCTCACCATGGGTTGCCCTGGAATTAAATCACTAGAATTCCAATAACTTTTCATGAGATTATATACGTAAACTTCCTGGGCCATGAGGAGAACCAGGAAGGGCTCTCTGTAATATCAGTGCTCACATTTTACTAGTCCTGTATTTGAAACTGACATGTTTTAACTAATTTAATTATGAGAAGCAAAATTTCTTATTACTAAGTACCTTAGGCCACATAAAGAGTATTAACTTTAAAACACACATTTTGGTTATCTCTATTTCTCTGTTACCATAGTGTTTATTCCTTTAGCATAAACACACAAATGAAATAAATGAGTTTAGCTACTATCAAGAAAAATAAATCCATACAGACCATGGAAAGCCTAAGTGATAGTTCTCAGGAATTCTAGAAACTGAGGCTGTGGCATGTGAATTAAGGGATGGTCTAAGGAAGCATTGTTTGCTGTAGATTGCATGTTTTCAGCATTCATGGCAATTTATGAGTCATTATAAAATTTTTTTCAAGAACATGAAAGGAATAAATTAAGCTAAAGCTGAAATGTGTTGCTCCCAAAATGTCAGAAAATTCTATCAGTAAAGAGAGCATGTGTTTGGTATCAGTTCAGTTTGTTCATGGAGTGACCCTGTTTCTGCAGTTCCCTTGTGGTTATAAGGTGACCGTGTCTGACACTGGTAACCTGTGACAGCTGTTATGTTAAACTGAAAGTATTATAGCTTAACTGGTAGAGCCACACCAACTGCAAGCTGACAGCGGTCAAGGATGCATCATTTTCTTTCTTGATAACAAGTGAATATGCGTAGTGCTTTTACTAGCCTTTTGTGGAAGCATCTGCAATGGAGGTTAAAAAAGAGAACAGAAACCTAATTTCACTAAATGCTAAATGGCTGCCTTCTAAAACTGGCTCAGCTCCTTTAGAATCCCCGCATGCAGTGACTCTGGCTGTTTTGCTAACACAGGTTTTATCATTTATAGATTGACAGTTCCCTAAGTACCTGCAGAATTTCATGGAATCAAGTGAATTTGCTATTATTGCTTTTATTGTCATTTATATCCTTGTGTTCTGAATTCTGAATGCCTTAAATAGTCTATTATAACAATAATCCAAGTTTCTAATAAAAAAAAAATGACATCAAGCCCTAACTAGCTGATCAGAGAATTTTTTTTTTTTTCACCAGCAGGCTTTATTGGTTGCAGTTACAAGAGGAAGGAATTTACCAGATTCAGCTCTGAAACCAGCATCAGTGGACCTACTGTGGCATGGCACTCTGAAAAAGCAGACTAAAGAGATTTGAAGTAACCTGAACGTGAGAAAATACCAATGAAATGTATTTGAAGCTGTGATTTGGTGTCAAAACCTGAGTAAGTGAACTAAAATTGTTTATTCAACTAATAGTCAATACTAGTTTTTTTTCTACTATATATGAAGTAAAACTAGAAAAATTATGTCTCTACCATTGACTAGTGTTTGTTTCCTCTGAAAATGCATCTATTGAAACCTCAATAGTAAATGTGATGGTGTTGGGAGACAGAGCCTTTGTGAGGTAATTATATCATGAGGTAGAGCTTTTTTGTAAAACTAATGACCATGAAGGACCGGGAGATAATGTACCCCTCTTGTGGTCTCTCTTTCTGTCTCTCTCTCTCTCTCTGTCTCTGTCTCTCTTTCTCTCTCTCTGTCTGTCTCTGTCTCTCTCTCTCCCTCCCTCCACCCTCCCTCTCTTTCTCTGCCATATGAGGACAAAGAAGACACAATCTGAATACCAGCGTGATTTTGTACTTCTTAGCTTTAAGAATTGTGAAAAATAAATATAAGCCATCAGATTACAGTGATTTGTTATAGAAACTCAAAGTAAGAAAGGTTTATTTTAGAAAAACAAAGACAAAATGAACATTTAAATATGTACCCTTTCACATTTTATTTTGCATTTTCTAATTTAAAAACATAATACAAAATGATTAAACCTACTGAGATTTTGCATAAATTAAATCTCAAAAATATTAAAGAGAATATTGCACATAATTTATAATTGCAAATTTCACTTACTTTAAAAATCACCTATTTTATTTATATCATAGTGACACACATAAATATTTAATACTAAATTTGCAGATTTAGCTGCTTTTTAAAGCAAAAGGAAAAAAACTATTCAAATGCCATTGCATATGTTTAGAAAACTTGAGTCTAACTTATATTGACACAATACAATTAGCATAATTGCTGATGTACATTGTGTTACAACCATTAGACAAATGCTGCAAAAATTATATTTTATAGAATAGAGGATGTCTGTGAAGAGGGAGACCAACAAGTGCTGAGAAACTTAAACCCAGTAGTAATTTCCCCTCGAGAATTCAAACTGGGTGTTATCTTCAGGACCAGCTGATTACTATGGGTTCATCTAGAGTCACACCATTGTCTCTCAGATCAACTTGTAACACCTAAAAAAAAGTGAAATTATAATTAATTGGTCAATCACAACCACTTTTTGTTGTTTTAATAACAGTGACTTCTATTTAACTTTTCTGTAAGTAAACAGGTATATCTCATTTCTCTTTTTTATTTTGATGAATTTTTCTTATTTATTATTGAAGTATAGAGCAAATTACAATTGTAGCAATAATTCTACCCAACCTATCTATTTTACTGGTGTGGAAAATGAATTGTAGAAAGAAAATGTGATTGTCAAACACACAAAAATCCAAGACTCTAAGCCATTTATGTATCTTGATATATATTACGTTAGAGTTTCTAGTATGTCTAAACATGGAACTATTTATAACTTCACTACCAGAATCTCTACATTTCCTTCCCTTAAATGATATGCAGTCATTTACACCTAAGGCTTTGATTTACAGGTATGTTTTTCTTTATCTCAAGAAGAAAGGGTGTAGTAGGTTTACTGTACTGACAATGATTTAATTTTCTATGTGTTGCTTTCTTTTACTGAAGATAATCTCAGTGGGACCCCATGTGAAATAATAACAAATTTAGTCAAATAAGCAGCCATAATCTAACAGTGATCTATTTATATAATATAGTGATTTAATGAGATCTCACTATTAATGGTTTTTTTCTCCATTACACTTAGATGATTATCTATGCCTCAGCTCGCAAAGTTTGGATTTAACCACCAAACATACAAAACAAAACAAAAGAAAGAATATCAACATTGTCCACAGCTTCTCATACATAGAACACTCTCTTAAGGATTTTTTTTAAGATTACTCTTCACAAGGCACAGCAAATTTGGATCAAATTCACATACTTTATGATAAAATTTAAAAGATAAGTTAATTGTCTTAATAGCCATTAGCCAAGTTTAAAATCGATCCATTGAACACTAAAACCTAAGCTAGTTCTTCTTTTTTTTATTTTAAAAATAAAAGGAGGAAAACATTAACAGACAGACAACATTTTACAATATATCAAAAGAACAGTACAGACTATACAGAGTTACAAACAAAGTGGTAGGGAATTAACAATGGTTGTTGTATTACATATTGATATCTTCAAAGTGGTTTCTCATGAAAACAGATATAGAAATGCAATACTGATCAACCAAAGACTCATTGATAGTTTCTTTCAGCATAGAAATAGAAGACAAAAGAACAACCATGTTAACTGTTCTGTATATACCTACATACAGGATTTCTCCTTCTTTCCCTTCTCTTTTCCCACATCCCAGTTGCCCTTTACTCTTGAGCGGTTTCCTATCATTTCACAGTGTCCATCATACCTCCGAGATTAAATTAACTGTTTCAAGATTTACACTAGTGAAACAATGCGGTGCTTGCACATGTATGTTTGATTAATTTCACAGAGATATACCACATCGCTTTAAGTAGAGTTTTGTTTTTGTTTTTTTTAACTAGGTAGAGTTTTTCCTGGGAAGATTTTTTTATGAGCATTATGGATATTTTAATCTCTGAAAAAGGATCTCACTAAGTGACACATCCTGGCCATCCACATTTTTAGTGGTGCGTGTTTGAACAAGTACGTAATGATTACATTCTTAAGGGGAGCTGGCACATGTACCTAACACATCTCAATTCATTTCTATTCCTTCCCTTTCCTGCCCTGCCCTTCTCTCCTTTCGCTTGATCTTTTTTTATTTTAAAAATCATCATGAAATAGCAGTTCAACCATCGTTTGCTTAAAGTTCCCACACCTGTGAAAAAGGTTAACCCAGAAAGAGAAACAAATTAACCATCTTTTCCTTTTCTGATACAGTAGACCTACAAAGGCTTAGAAAAGTCTAGGTGTTTACAAATATCTATTTTATTCAAATGTACTTATAAGAAACTACTTATACTTTTTGGTTAAAAGAAACACTTTTCTAAATCATTAGGGTAACAATACAGTTTCAAAAATTCTTCTCTTTAGTATTTAAAATTTTGTGTGGATATGTTTACAAGCAGTGGGATAAATTTTTCCATGGTCTGCTTTTTGCCACTTAGAATGAGCCTAAAGTAACACTTACATATGAAAATACTTTATGTGATATTATTCAGTTTATATTAATCACTTAATTTTATGGTAAAAGTAATGAGCTTTACTATTATAACAATAAAAATCAAGAAAATATGAAAAGCAAGCCAATCTTTTCATCTGATTGGATAATGAATAGCACAGAAAAATTCTCTTTGAAAGTGACTAACAACCATGGACTCTTTAATCTTGGAGAACTAATTTTCCTTTTCAAGATCTCAGTTTCTTGATCAGTCATGGGCGATGGTGCGGATAAATAGTCATTCTCTTACTTTGGAGTTTTATAAACCACAGGCATATTTAAAAGAAGAAAAATGGATGTAAGATCCCAAGTTCTCAACTTTCACTTTACCAAGAAAGGACCCTAAGTACATTAAACTACCTTTTCCCAACTGTGACATAAATTTAAAGAAAGAAAGTTTATCCTCATGTCAGAGTAGTAAGAGAGTCTTCATTCCAAATTAAAGGGAAATTCAACTGCTCTACTAAGCAACCATAAGGCAGGACAAGACTTAAAGTCTGAGGAGCAGAAACCACGTCTCAGGTGTGCTCTGTAACATGCTCTGAAATCCGAAAGGACTAAAGACCCAGTCAGAAAACTTGCTATGCTGTAAATTAAGTTCCTCCATAAACAGCTAGTTTGTTTCATTCAAGTTTAAATACAAAGGAGTGTGTCCTCACACACTCACTCAGTTCAGAAGTGCAAAAGCAGCCTCAAACTTGGCAAAAACACTTGTAGAAGCGGTTTTCTAAAATGTATGCTTCAATTTTTTTTTTTTTTTTTTTGTTCTAACCAGGAATTGCACTCATGGACCTCACCTTGCCAGGCAAGCCCTGTGCCACCGAGCTCAGCACCTGGCCCCAAAACCCTTCTTGACAAGACTGTAATACGGCACAGCATTAGGACATTGTCTATTTGCATCGTTTTATTCAATTGGAAAGAAAAAGCAGGCTTAAAATTACTTGTTCAAATAAAAAACTGATTACTGGCAACTAATTAAAAATAAATATCATTATTTACATCAAATAAAAAGCATTACTCTAACACAAGAACTCTAACCCTTTAGTGTGTGTATCATTTCTTAAAGCATTTGCATTCATTGGTGCTCATAGATAGTTGTATTTATTTTGAAGAGAATGCTCAAATATATTTTACCTAAGACATATGCAGTGTTCGAATATGCAATTTTTTGAAAAGAGAGTTTGAGGCACTTTATCATATATGAATAATAGCACTTCAAAAGTTTAGTGTAATTAAATATTGCTTTTCTTATGTCAACACAAATATGAAAAGATTGATTTACAAATTATTAAGAAAAATAAAATAGAAATAACCATAGATATTTAGTGACAACGTATATATGATATGAAAAAAAATTATAGTTAACACAAAATTAGGCTTATTTAGGCCAGAAAAGTATAAAAAGTCCACACAGATATTTTGAATAGCTACATTTTTAAAAAGGATTTCCTTATTTCACTCACATTTTTGGCTGAAGTATGGTTGAACTTAAGTGACACTGTATTTTCATTATATATCAAATTAACTAGGGTGACAGTAGTTGCTTCTATTCCCCATACATCGACATAGCCAAGCCGTGTCTCTGTTCTATTTATGTAGCCATTTTTCAACACAGTGCTTGTCAGAGTCGTCTACAAAGGAAAATGAAAATAAAGTAAATTCTTCATTAACAAAAACTACTAATTGTTTAATATATATATGTACATATATGTATCCATCAATCAAAATGTATTTCATAGTGTAGTAAATAATGTAAAATAGTGTATTTGTATATTTTAGTGGAGTATTGCATATAATAAATGTTTAATAAAGTTACGGATTTTACACAATGGCATATAAGTGATCTTAAATACCTTGTTGAAATTAAACTGTACCAACAAATACAGGTCTCTTTCATAGGTGTCTGTAGAGAAAAAAAAGATATAATTTTATTTTTTGAAGAACAGTAAAGAGTAGTATATTTAATTTTCTTTCTAGGTAAAATGGCACCAAATTTTCTTCATGAATTTCTAATTAATATCAAATTGATAAAATATGGTTTATGTAGTTAAAATATAGTTTATATAGTTCTATGTCTTTCTTTAAAGGCTATTATTGCCATAAGAATCTTTCTAATTTTAAATAATTATTTACTAGTCATTAATACTTATTTAATAAATACAGAACACTTATTTGTCAAATTTTAAACACTCTGCAACAATTATTATAGAATATGTTACTATTAATCCTTCTGTCCAGAAGAAGAAAGTCAGTCCCAAGGTAATTAAAGAAATTTTCATAAGTAGGCAACTGATTATTCTGAACGTCTATAATCAAGCCCAATTTTTCTTGAGTTTTAAGACTGTGTTTATGTAAAAAAAAAAAAAGCATTGAAAATATGGAAAAATGAAAGTCAAATGCATGATTGAAATGAATATTGAAACAACATGAAAAAGCAATATATTTTAATGCCCACTTCACGTACATATGTTAATATTGTATTCTTTAATTCACGAATAATAATTTTCATCTTATGTCTTCCTATACTAATATTTATATTCTACCATACGCCTCTCTATATATACTAATGTATGAATAGTTAATTTAATTTAATATGTACTATGAGGTACATTATTGTTAATATGTCTTAAATATTTTAATTTCAACATTTAAATAAACAACCTTAGCTTAAATTTTTAGGGACACCTTTTAGGTGTAGAATTAGGTGTAGAAGGTAATGACGGGTGCGAGGAGGACGTCGTCAGTCTTGTTAACAAGAGGCAGACAGACATCTCGTGTAAGTCAAGGGCACATATGTTTCTGGTTCATTAGGATAAGTTGGAGAATTAGTATTTACTAAACTGTAACTTTATGGAGCTAGAAAGGCCAAATTTGCTTAGTGTATGCACATCTATGACAAGTTTATTTTTTAAACCGTCTACCGCTGATTTGCTTTGTGAGAAAGAACTTGTCTGCAACATGACGAGGTACCATGAAATTTGAATATCCGTGTTTAAAAGACAGAATACTCGTCAGGTGTAGTGAGGCGCAGTGCATCTCTAATCCCAAAACTTTGAGAGGTTGAATCCAAAGCAAGACAAGTCCTGAGCCCAAACTAGACAAGTCAGTGACTTAGCAATGCCCTGATTCAAATGACAAACACATGAAAAAAATAAAAGGGCTGGAGATGTAGCTCAGAACAAAACCCCTGTGTGCAATTCTCAGTAGCAAGAAAGAAGGAAGGAAGGGTGGGAGAGAGGGAGGAAGGCAGGGAGGGAGGCAGACAAAGATGAAAAGATAGCAAAGAATGGTAGACTGGAAGGAAGGAAAAGAAGGAAGAAAGGAAGGGAGGGAGGGAAGAAGGATGGAAGGAAGGAAGGAAGGAAGGAAGGAAGGAAGGAGGGAGGGAGGGAGGGAGGAGGGAGGAAAGGAAGGAGGAAGGAATCAGATGGACATCTATCATCTAGATTTGTGTGTTTTCTGTGAAAGAAAAGTTTGGAAATTCTGATCTACTAAATTGAGAGCCTAAGTATTTGTTCTTTATTACTGATGGTATTTAATTAAGAAATTTTAGGGATTTATTTGAAACCTTTATATCCAACTATATTAAACCTACTGAGATGGTGAATATGACAAAATAAGAGTTGTCAGATAATACCTGTTCAGAACAAGTTTGATGCTGGTATTGAAGGGATTGACTGATCTGAACTACGCTTTAAGCACCAGTGAGGAAAGAAAAGTCATCCATGAAACAGTGTGAAAACCACACCAAGTTATTTCATCTGCATATTTTTATCAGAAACACTGAGAAATAATTCAAGGAAGCTTCATCTCTCTATCTGTTAGAGTGCATTAATTCAATTTCTTAAATTGGGAGATTCAAAAAATCCAAACAAGGATGTAAAATATGCATAACACAGCTTTATGGGGAAATTGTGCCCAAATTAAAAGTTTGTACAGTAACTCAGGATATGATGAAGAAAGGCCTCAACTTTGTAGAACTTCATTTAATGTTAGTAAAGATTACATTTCTAAAGACTGATGATTTTTAACTAACAGCGGTGAGCTCTTCACCCTTGAAACCGCAAGACGTTAGGAAGAGAGTTTTCCCCACAATCTTATGTTTGCTCACTAGCATATGACTCTAACTTACATCAACTTTCTAATACGTTTATTAATTTGTCTTATTTCTTACAGTTGCAAATTATTAACTTGAATGAATATACATGCTTTTGTTATTAGTGAAAAGGCATCATCTGTGAATACTTTATTTACACTGCAGAAAACTACCACCTAAGAAGTCCAATTAATTCTTGTTATGGAGGTTTGTCTCACGGCAATGTTTAGATTTCCCCTTGGGGTAGTCTGTATTCAGGGTAGTCTTTGCTTTTTCCTCTTGTTACACTCCTAATGACACTGCTCAAAGGCAGAATTCCGGTTTTCTTGTGAAGCCGGTGGAATCCGCACGGGCCCCGAATGAACATCTAAACAACTGCCCATGGCGTTTCTGGTGCCAGCAGAGAGGAGAACACTGGCAGCTGGAGGGTGAGCGCCCTGTGCAGTATTATGAAACAGTCTGGATGGCATAGAGGTAGATCTAATTTAAAGACGCCTTTTTGTAAAATGCTGACTATGTAAACCATGAGCAAACATGCAAGCACCACGAAGTGCAGAGCCCAGACACACTTCAGCTTGTGCTCTGGCCTCCCTCCTCTGGAGGCGTGCTCGGCGTCAGCGAGGCACAGAGTGCGGGGCCTGCCTAGTTGATCTCGTAGGAACCAAGAGTGTTTATGTCGATAGCACTGTGTGAGCTTCTACTTCAGGTACTGCATGCTCATGCAAATCTCTTAGTATTTGTATTTAATATAAATTTAATATAGATTTAATATAAATCTCGGGCATTTATATCAGGGATTAAGCATAAGTAAGATATGAGGGTAATCTTTAAATATTTGGGACAATGCTTATGTAAGTTGGTTCATTTAAATATTAAAGTTTAGGGGCTGGGGATTTAGCTCAGGGGCACAGCGCCTGCCTGGCAAGCGCAAGATTGTGAGTTTGATTCCCGGTACCAGAACAAAACAAAAAAACAACAAAACAAAACAAAAAAACCAACAAAACAAAAAAAATAAATATTAAAGTCTATTAGAAGCTTCAAATATTATCGATAACTTTGTACTGAAGTTCTTAAGTACAATAATATGCAACATAAAAGTAATGCATAAAAATATGCACATCATCAATTATATTTATCCACTAATGGAACACTTACCTATAGTGTCTCCGTCATCCCAAAACAGAGATCCTTTTGCCACCTGGTCATCATCTGCAGCCACAATGAGCTTCATATAATTTGTTCGACTATAAGAAATACATATTTTTATCTGTGCTTGTAGAGTATTACATTTTATGTGACATGACGTTCATATAAGTATCCAAATGAACACAAATAAGAATACCATTTAAATAGAATGTAATTTGATTTAGATGAGGAAAATTAAGGATTCTTTCTTTTGCAAAATAAGGAATGATATAAATTACTAATGATATCATTTATACCACACAATTCATATCATCCATCTTATGTAGTACAAAAATGTCACTCATTTCTTTTGATCTCATGAGTTTACTTACTGTGACTGACAGAAGTGGCCTCAGAGTAATTAAAGCATATTAATTTAATTAATATTCTTCCTGGGGAGCTAGTCTATATCATTAAGCATTGCTCTTTTAAAAACATTTTAATCACTTGTGACTTGTCTTCATCATAATTCTACATACAAATCACGAACGTATCATTGGAAATTACTGAAACACAATGTGCATCTGAATTCTAAGTCTTATTTACGTAATGAGCAGTATCTCCAAGCCGATACCTGTGCAGTCCTTTTCATGAACGAAATACTTGCCCATGCTCGTTCTATAGTGACTTGTAGGAAACAGTTTGGTTTGACAACTTCATTGCTAAGGAAGGGTTTCTCAGTCAGATTATTTTTAGCTCTCTGCCTTTTCCAATTACTGATACTAAAGGGTGTATTACCAAGGAAATCTCTAGATATCCAGAATCTTAAAGTTCTATCTGTTCTGAAATATATATATATATTTATATATCAGTATCATATTTTATATCAGTATATATTATATATCAGTTAATACAAAATATATCAGTTAATAGTCACAGGGGTAAAAAGCCTCATCTTAGATATCAGTATATAAAATATTTGATTTACCTACAATTTCCCAACCAGTACTACATCTTGAGATTAAGAAGACTCTCACCACCCGCACTGCACCTGCATGCGCACCTGTGCTCTACGTCCCCTATGCTGGGCCCCCCCCACGTATATTTCATCAGCTGCATGACACAGAATGTGCCAATAATCCCTGGAAAAATTGGCGTGTTAGTGAGGGAGAGGGAGAGAAAAACAGACGGCACTCAGGAGAAAAAGTCCTGGCTCAGATGATCAGTGATGAACGGAGATAGATTAAAAAATAAATGTGCTAAAGGCAATGAAAAACTGGATCTGTATCTTCTGTGGACAGCAGGAAACTTAGTTTGAAGGAATAGCAGAGTAACTGGCAGTGGATATCTATACTTTCACGCGCTGCAGTGAGCCTGGAAATACACCATGGGGTTGACAGAGAGGCCAAGAGGGGGAAAGGGAAAATCGATGGAAAGAGAAATGCTACAAACGGTGCTGCAAAGAAAACTGACCTAAAGTTTATAAAGAAGCGCATGGAATGGAATACATTTCAAAACTAGAAAGAATTGAGATCCAGAGCTAAGACATGGCAAGGTGGAAACGTCAACATATATTGCTAGGTAAAATAATCCAATCTGAGCAGCCTATACGCTGTGTGCTCCCAACCATAGGAAATTCCGAAAAACTAAAGCTGTGAAGAGAGCTAAAGTATTGGTGTCTGTGTTGGGTGAGAGAGGGACACATAGGTAGAACACAAAGGCTGCTCCGGGGAGTGACAGAAGCAGTGGTGTGCAATACTGTGATGATTCATCCAGGCCATGATCTGTTTTCCTAAACCGGCAGAACGTACAGCACAAAGACTGACCCTTAGCGTAAGGTGTGGACGCGGGGTACCAGAGCTGTTTCTGTGTTAGCTCACCAGTTACTACAGATGCACCACCCCAGCTAAGATGCTCATAATAGAGAAAACTATGAAAATGCAGAGTTCTCACAAAAGCCCAGGCCTTCCTTTCAATTTTGTTGAAACCTAAAACTCTTTAAAAAGTTCTTATTTAAAAAAATCATGGTTCAAGAAGTAGATAATACTTCTTTCCACACGTTAAAGGTGAAGAAAAAGATCTAGGTAAGGCATCCATTCAAAAGAGTTTGTCGGTGCTCTTGCATATTATGTACGAAGAGTGTTCAGTTTTAGCTTTTATTTTGGACTCAGAAGCTTTCTGACATTGAAGGAGGACTTCTCCCTGGGGTAGAATTTTTCATGTGTCTTTTGCACCCACATATTCCACTTAGAGAATCACTGACAACTTTTCTCTGAATTATCTTTTTACAGTTTTTAAAATGTAAACAGCATTAGAAAGGGTAAGATGTTTTCTACTGTATTATTTATCACCTTATAACAAAGACATCATCTCTCTTCCAAGAAAGTGATGAGTACATTTGCTTTCAGTATTATAAAATACCTAATGCCTCTAAACTAAGGGTTGCTTAGCTGAGATATAAACGTGCTACGCGGGTAGCATCGACCCGGGCCACTTCCCATCACCCCATGGGACTTGGGAAACAAAGAAAACTGAAGTTCATGTAAGTTTCCGTCTCTTCTTTTGCTACAAGGATTAGAGATACCGTTCTTTATCTCTGACAGTATATCCAGTGGCAGGCTAGTTTATGAGGTCGCAGATCAGGTATTTCAGGTCCTTTCTAATTACTGACATCTCTAGTAGGATTTATTGCAAAGTTTAATCAGAGTCCTGAAAATAATTAACTTACCTGTAAAATGTGGTGCGATTAGGCTCTTGACATGGCAGGATATAACCCCCACGGATATGCAGGTTTATCGTATCAAACGGAGCTGAAAAGTCATGAAAGGTTCCTCTGACACCGATATCTTCTCCCTAGACGTGACAGGGAGGAGGGAAGGACAGGAGCAAGAGTTGAGACCCACAACAGAACAGTTACCTAAAGGGACATATTTTGAAATCAAATGCTACACTTTGTGAAACACAAACACAAACACAAACACGTATTTAAGAATTCGTGTTGCTCACATCCTAGTGAAGTAAATGTCCTTATACTATCTCTGCATGTAATTTATGGCTGTTTGCTTTTGCAGTGCTCGCCTGCAGAAATGGTGTGAAGTTTGAAAGGTCACAAAAGCAGTTCTTCCACATTATCCTTGGAAGGACTGAATTACTTTTAATGATCATTTTGGTAAACCAATAAAGGGCAATGACCTTTTTAAATATAACGTACACTTTCATGTTTATTTATTAAAAACAAATCAATGATGATATAGTGAACTATAGGAAAATAAATTAACTTTCATTGTGTGTTCATTTGATTTTGCTATAATAAGCAAGAAATATTTTACTCCTTTAAAATAGAAAATAAAAACATGCATCACTGATTACAGCAGTGAGTAATCAAACACATACCTATTTCTTTTTGGTTAATTTCCCAGAATTCTTTAAATACTTACTGTGTGATAGTCAAACCACCGAGCATCAGGGACATAGCCATTTACAGTGTCCACATACTGAAATTTAAAGATATAATCATTAAAAACACATAAATTCAAATGTTATTTTATGAACAAAGTAGGTGGCAAGACTTACGGGTTCTAGCACAGGAGTGACCAGAAAGGCTGGACCCCACAAGAACTGCTTGTATATTTCCCAAGTCTGCTTGTCATTGAAAAACCTTGAATAAATACAAACGATAAATTAGATCAAAGAAAGTTGTCCTCTTGAACACTATGAAATGTTTATCAAATCACATTTTGAGGTATGGATTTTTGTGGATTCAAATAACAACCATATATATATATATATATATATATATATATATATATATATGGAATCAAACTCAGGACCTTGCATTTGCCAGGCAGGCATTTGTGCTGCTGAGCTGCATCCCCAGCCCCAAATATTAAAAATATGAAAAACAATTTTACGACTTAGAGTTAAATGTGGAATAGTACAATACAAATAAATCTAAGCTAAGCCTAAGCACACCAACACCAGCAGGAGACGGTGGTGGGAGGTCAGACCAGTTGAGTCACCTTGCAAATCATTCCTGGAGGTGGGTATGTCCATGAGCTTGGACTAGAACGTGATAAAAAAACTAATAAGTAAAATCTGTAAAACTCCGTGGAAGAGAACTCTAAAACTTGATCTATAAAGATGTTAGTCTGATAACTTTAACAAAGAATTCACTTATCCTACTTACATTAGAGCTCTTTGGTACTGCTTTGTAAGTCTGTAGTGAAATGTTCTGACATATAGTAAGAAATTTCTGAATTTGAGATACAAACAGCCACAAAAAAGCAAAAAATTTATGTAGTTTGAGACTAATGAAGATTCTCGTATTTCTTTTCTTTTAAAATGAGTGACTTTTAAAAAAATTATATACTGTATCATTTGTTTTATGTTTATAGAGATTAATGCTAAAATGGACTGCTAGATTTACTCCTTTAGGAATTTGTCATGAAACCAAAGTCACAGGCATTCTCATAGCGCAGGAATCTGCATCGCTAATAACAATGTTTCTGCTGGGTGACTCAGTCCAGAGTTGACAATGCAACAATTCTGGTACTTTAATAAGGATTTAAAAAAAAGAAGATTAAACTGTACATGAAACAGTAAAGAAATCAGCAAAATACTATCAGGAATACAGGGTGAATTAGGCAACTGGAATACGTTTTCAATCAAAGAAGAGTCATTTAACTAGATATTTTATTACATTATTAAAATAGAAGCCACAATGGTCAGTTCAAAATTTTGTTAAATGCATTTGTATGCTATTGCTTTAGTTTTAGTACATAGTTGCTGATTTTATTGGCTTATAAATAATGAAATTTGAAAAATCACCTCATTTAATTCTGTTCATAATATAGGGTATATAAGAAGCAAAATATTTTTTGATTATCTAGAAAACTTTTTACTGTTGTCATTGTATTTTTTATTGTTAATAAATTTGACTGAGTATTTGCATCAGCCTTAAAAAGAGAAAAAGCAAAAATATTTCCAATGGTGCTCCATGGAATAGAATTTTCAAGAGTTTTTCATATCACTTTGAGATATGAAAGTGGTGTCTTTAGAATAAATTTCTAAAGAGAACGTTTAAAGTGTTTGGAGTGTCCTATTAACATATCTACAGGAAAGGTGAGCTGCTCTCCTGCAGTAAGGCATTTATATTTGGTAGATTTATTTGAAAGTACTAAAATCTCAATGAAATAGAAAAGAGAATATTAATTTTCCACAATAAATTAATTAACCTTCAAAATAACTGTGTATATAAAGTGTTTAGAATAATGCCTGATATATAATAGTTATTACTTTCAAATAACAAAATAAATTGTTTCATTTGCTAATGACTGATATTAGTCTATTTATTAATAGAAACACTTATGTGAGCACTTTTTTCAACCAAAATATATATTAAAATACCAATGAACATATTGCAATATAGGAAATCAATTCTTAAACTAAATTAAAGTTAATTTGTGATAAGAAAAAACATTGCAACTTACTCATGCAAAAGAGGTCGAATAACAGTACCACCATGAGCATGGATTTCATGCATTTGTGTATAGAAGTAAGGTAATAATGTGTATCTAATCTCTAGAATTTTCTTTGCCATTTCAGCAAATGTTTCATTCCAGGAAACAGGATCTTGTCTCTAAACAAAGCAAAATGAAATCAATTGCCTCATTTTAAATCATAATATTAAAATATTTATCCAGAGAATAAAAAACGAATATATTAATCCACTATCTTGTGTTATATATTTCTTCAGAAAAAATCTTATATTTCTATCTTATATGATAATGTGATAAGGCACAATATTGTGTTAATATTTTAATAAGAAAATTACAAATGAAGTGCATGATTTGATTTAGCTCAGGTGAACATACACAAAGAGTAGTTCATGTCTTAATATATAACAAATGCATTGTCAATTAAGGTGATACTCAGTGTTGGGTAAGAGATTGATGTGAGAAATGATATGATTCACTACACAAAGATGGGTTAAAATAATGAGGCACATACAGACCTCATCGTATTCACCCCACACTTTTTTGTCCTCTTGAGCAGTGAAGAGATTACAGTTATAAAGGGTCAACAGTACATAAAGTTTCATGATAGTATACCATGTTAAATGAAAGAAAAGATACATTGTAGTCTACTCTGGAATACACACTCCAGGCCAAAGACTACCATTGATAGTAGAGAATAAAAGCCTATGATAATGACAGTAAACATATTGGTTAATAATAGTAAGGAAAGCGAGAGGTATTTTATATTTTAATTTACACTGTGGACACAAAGCTACCTCATAAATCTAAAAAGAAATACTTTCAGTGTTTTTTATTTATACTAAGAGATCATTTTATAGCTGTGTCTCTTTATGAAGATCACAACTATCCTAGATTTGGGGAATAAGAAAGCTCGAATGATGGCTGAGTGTCACCACTGGTATATGTAGTGTTAGGATACGAAAATTCTTTTTAAAATCTTGTAGAAACAATCCAACTGTCAAGCTATATATAATTTTATTGCTATTATTTTCAAAATCAAGTAAAAAACAGAAGCAAAGATCATATGTGCTATTTATCAACATTATTAAATTTATTGTATGTTTCTGGTATGTTAATATAAAAGTACCTAATTCCTAACAATACATTCCTAAGTTCAGTTATATTAATTATATTCAATTATATTATATATAATTATATTATCTCATTATATTATGGTTCAATTATATTATCTCATATTTAAACAAATTGAGCTCTCTCACTTGTGTGGATTTTTATCTAGAAATACTTTTCAGTGTTTCCATCATCCATTTGGTCTGTTTTCAAAAGCTCTAACCGTATCACCACTCCGGGGAATTTCAAATCTTACTACAGTCTGAAACTGTCCTCCTCCACACATCCGTACTGATGGCTCTGTCCCACGCAAATCTCCCTTTAAAAGTCTCTCATCCAAGGTCTTTTCGAGCACCCTGTGAGAAACCAGCTCTGGACAAGACTCTTTAACTTAGCTACTCCACCATTCTTTTTTCTGGGAAGCATATTTAATATACAGATATCTCTATCTGTGTGCACACATATGTGTGTATACATATAACATGTAATTGTCTTTTAGCTCTAAGTCTCCCTACAATACATGAATCATTATCACAAAGCCTTCCTCAATATTTGCTAATAGACTTTCAAGTACTGTGAATTAACCTGCTTTCAGGCTTGCACTGACTCATTCTTTACCTGTCAATGTTATACTTTTAAAATTGTCCTGCCATCAACTTCCTACTAAAATATTCCTATTTCACCACCTCTCGTCTTGCCTGTTCAGCTTTAAAATTCTTCCTGTGTGTGGTCTCATCCTGCTTTGTGGCCTTGTACTTTGGCACTTTCCAAAATCATTCTTTTCTTTTATTTCAACTAAATTTTGCCACGGTGGTGCAGTTTGGGGAGAACTTTTTGAGCGCTGCCGTTCGGTAACTACGGCTAGATGCTGTCCTTCAAATACAGGTGGTCTTCAACCCCTCGCCATGTGCATTTTCTCACCGTATCTTCACTTTGCATCCTTTCACTCAAGGCCAATGCAAAAACTGAGCACATAGTAAGGCATTTCCTCTCACTGCTCATCATTTTCTCCAAATTTGGAACAGTTTCCCGTATCACTCAAAAGCTTCTGCCAATTACTGTGCCGGGCACAGAAACTAGTTCTCTTACCTCCTTTTCCTTTTCCTGTTTCTCAGGTTCTCAAGTCATTGTTTCCATATTTGCCTTCTAACTCTACCACTGTTATTCATTGCTATAAATGACCTTTGCTTCCAGTTATTTGGTTTGAAGCTAATATATTTATTCACTGCTCCAATTTGAAAGAAGTTTTAAAGGAAGATAATTTCTTTCTTTACTGCTCCAGAATTACCTAAATGACTACATTAAATATGCTGCTAACCAGACCACGTGTCTCAAAATGTAATGTAACATATTTTAAATTAGAAAATTCTCAAAATGATGACTAGCTAATTCTCAAAATGATGACATTCAGATCATGACGAATGTATCCTTCATAGATATGAAGAGATTTAAAATATTCATTTGGAAGTCAACCAGGTCAGATGTATTATATGAAAAACTCCTAAGGTTATCAGGGGAAAGAATTAGAAGCAAACACAGCAATTACATACTCTAGTGAAGGCAATGTTGTGATTTCTTGCATATGGATAAAATGCACCGAGTTGAGTCCAGCGTGTACAGAGATGATACTCTGAATCGTTGAAGAAACCACAGATGTCCGCTCCAGTCTAAAAGATAGTATTATATTTAATTAAATTTACATAGTTTTTCGTAATATTTATGACTTACGAAGATAAAAGAAATAGCTCTACTTACATATGATATTCCAAAGAGACTAAATTCCATCATACCTAAAATAATTGGGGAAAATATTACAAAATTATTTCTTCATAAATTTTAATATTTTTGCTCCAATTAGTGAAGATATTCTAAAGTAAACTGTAGTTCAATAAAAGAGCTGATTATTAATAGTATATCCAATATCAACTCTTACCATATTTATGCTTCTTACTTAATAGTATATATACTATTTATTTAAAAATTCAACAGATTATGTAACACTCACAATATAAAAGGTTCAGAACACACATAGATTTTGAACATGTTATAGTGAGAGAATAAAATGATAGCAGTTATATTAGTTTCATTTTTGAAAACAGAGGCCATTTCTAAAATTATTTCACCACAGCTATTACTATTTAAACAACTTGAAGTATAATTTTTTAAGTAAAATCTTCTAGGAAATAACCAGCTAAGTCCAGTGTTTTGAATAAATGAGATTTTCCGGCTCTTTTTTAAAAGAATATTTCCAAATCTTGTTTTTTTGATACTATCCTTCGTAAGGAGATTTAAAAACTAGATATCAAAAAGAAAAGTATCATCTTCCACTTTAAAATAATACCTTGTTTAGAAATTATTGGAAATTCAAAATATATTTGGAAATGTTTCATTCTTTACCTTCTAATCAGTGATTCTTATTCCCTACAAGCTAGGATTTCTACCTATTTTGTTTACTCACTTTAGTTATTGTCTTCCCCAGCTCCTGCCCTTTGCAAGAAGAAAACTTAGGGCAAAGAAGATGAAATTGTTTTCTTAAAATAATCAGCGGTTAGATTCTACATATTATTTGTGATCCTGCTTCCTGTGCTCTGTACTTTGCAGGAGGCTCCGTGTTATACAATATTACATCAAAGGCAAAATGTTGAGGATTCATAAAGGTTATGAATTAGCATCAGAAAATGTGAAAACAATGGAAAGCACAAAAACGATACAGATGATGACTCTCACACACCGATGATTGATTTGTCCATGTTGTCCCAATTTGCATAGTTGTCTCCCAGCCAGTGTCCCGCCCAGCGGCCAGCAGTGGGGTAGGTGGAGCGAGAAATAACGATCCCTCTTTTTCCAGTTGTCCGTTGTACTGCACTGATATGGATGAAACATTACTCCAAGTTTTTACAAGAGGCATTTTCTTCAAGTAGATAATCTTTACCGAGGGAATAATCAATACATTATTGAGATTTTTTGGGGTTTTTAAATATCTATTGTTTCAGGAAAGTATGTTGCTTGAGGGTAGTTGTTCCCCAATATTATGTTCTAATAAGGCTAATAAAGGGTAAATTTGAGTCATTTGTGTTCTAATAAGGCTAGTAAAGGATAAACTTGAATCCTGAGCCCATAATGCTAGGGAAATGCACAGACACGGAAAGGTGAATGTTGCGTGGTTTCTCTTATATGAGAGAGAAAGTGAGAAGCAGGGAAATAGGTTTTTGCGGGGATGGGAAGGGATTCTGAGGAAAGGCACGGGGGTGGAAAAGTTGTCAGGATTATATATAGTATATATGTTTTATCTATATATAAAAACTATACCTATATATCTACGTAGACACATATATCCCCAATGAATATAATTTATGAGTCACAAATATATACAAACAATAAATAAATAAAATTAATGTTTGTCCAAATAAAAAGACAGTGTTGAAAATTAAAATTCCTCACTCTTAGAAAGACTTAGGGTCTCTATTTTGGGGCCTGGTGAACAAATCTATGGTAAACAGTGAAGTAATAATTTTTCATTTAATTCATTTGTTTAAAGTTGAATAATTTAGATGCTAGAATTAAGCCAAGCATATATTATTGAGGAATTTTATTTGTACTGTCAAAATCCAGTGGCCTAGGAAGCTATACTCTTTTTTATTTTATTTTATTTTATCATTTTGGTGCCTGGAATCAAACTCAGGATCCTGCGCTTGCCAGGCAAGCAGTTATACTCTCTAAGAAAGTGGCCACTAGCCACCTCTTATTTCATATTCAATTATCATTTAAAATTAAACAAACTTTAAAATTCCCACTCACAGTAGCCACATTACTCAACAGCCATGTATGATTCATGGACACCACAACCGAGCTTAAAAATGATAGAACACTGGGGGCCGGGGTTTAGCTCAGCGGCACAGCACCTGCCTGGCAAGCGCGAGGTTGTGAATTTGATTCCCGGTACCAGAAAAAAAAAAAAAAAAAAGAAATTATAGGACATTTATATCACTGCAGGACATTTTATTGAACAGAGCTGATAAATACCTGATAGTTAGAGAACAGTTTGTCCATTACTATTGGTCTTACAAAGGAGTCTATTTAAAGTGAAGATTAATGTAAACTTAAAGTTTGAGAAGTGCAAGAAAAACCAGAGGTGCTCTACTCTGCCAGTAACGGATTTAAATAACAAATTCAGGCATGCTTTAATACCTGTGCTAGTGACATCAAACGATGTTATTTGTATGTTTTATTTGGTTCTATTCCTTGAGAATCTACTATTTGTCAGGCACTGTACTAGGAATGCAGTGCAGAACAAAGCAAAAATGGTCTTGAATTGTTTTGAAATAAATGAAAATAAAAATAATAAAAACCCATATGATAGAAAAATACAAACACATTTTGCCTAATGGAAGTGCAGGAAAAGGTGAACTGCAGAGTGTAGTTGGGAACAAAAGGGCTACCAGGGTACTGAAATAGGCACTACTAAGTTAAGATCTGAAAGACAAAGGCACATCAGAGAGTAACTGCAAACGTTTCTTACTCATAGGTAGGTTTTGCTTGTGACCACCCATACAGGTTATGAACATCGTAGTGCAAAACCGATGTTCCATCGCTAAGAATCTGCTCGGTTTCCATGCACATAGTTCGGAAATGTAAGCCTTCGTATCTTTTCGTAAGTTCTGGAGAAAATAAAAACAGAAATGATATAAGTGTTCTGCTGTAAAAGTGTAGCTCATAACTATATGTGCTTTTTAATTTTTACCTTGGTGTATCTTTTTGATTGACCCACAATATTTATACACGTTTATGAGGTGCAAGGTGATGCTTTGTTTGATTCATGTATATACTAAGCATTAATCATCTCAGGTAATTAATATATCTGTTATCTTAAAACTTTTTTCATTTCTAGTTATTTTGAGATATATAATCTATTATTATTAATTATATTCATGCTACTGTGCAAAAGAATATCAGAAATTATTATTTCACTCAAAGAATACTTTTATACCCTTTGATATATTCCTTTGACAAAAAATTAATCACATAAAATTAATCAGTTCTTAAAAATTATTAACTTTTAAACATTTGTACACTTCTGTAATTACAAACAAGAAAATTAATCCGCAATACTAGTGAAATAAAGATACACACTAATGCCAATACAAAGAAAAAACAATACAATATCTTTTACTCTACTTTTTCTTTATATAAGTTACTTTTTGCAGATCTTTGCTGTCACTTTATATGTTAGTAACCTAGGTCAGGGTTAAGCAAAGAAGTGATAAAATTTTGCACATATCCCTAGTTAAAATGAATAAACATCTATGGAGATGATCATGTAGTTTTTGCCCTTGGCTCTGTTATTACATTTAATAATATTTATTCATTTATATTACATTTATATATTTGCATTTGTTGAACCATCCCTGCATCCCTGGGATGCATCCAACTTGGTCATGATGTACAATCTTCTTGATGATTTTCTTTTTGCCAGTCTTTTCAAGGACTTTTGAATTTATGTTCATTAAGTAGATGGCCCTGTAGCTCTCTCTCTTCGTTCAGTCCTTCTCTGGTTTTGGTATCAAGGTAATGCTTGCTTTGAGGAATAAGTTTGGCAGTGTAGTTTCTCTTTCAATTTCATTCGAGAGTTTCACAAGTAATGACATTAGATGGTCTCTAAAGATCTTGTAGAATTCAGCAGTGAATTCAGCAGGACCTGGACTTTTCTTTGTTAGAGGTATTATTATTCTTCAATTTCATTGACTAATACTAGGTTATTTAGAATTTTTATATCTTCTTGGTTCAGCGTTGGTAATTCATATATATCTAGGGTTCTGTCCATTTCTGAGTTTTCCATCTTTTTAGAGTAGAGGTTTTTAAAGCAGGTATTGTTGAGCTTTTGGATTTCTGGAAGATCCATTGTGATTTCACCCTTTTCCTTTCAAACTGCATAGATTTGGGTCTTTTTATTTCCTTTTTAGATGAGGTTAGCTAGGGGTTTGTCTATTTGATTTATTTTTTTAAACAATCAACTCTTCAATTCATTGATTCTTCGTATTGTTCTCTTAGTCTGAATTGCATTAATTTCTGGTCTGGTCTTTGAAATTTTCTTCCTTGTATGCACTTTGGGTTTGCCTTGCTGTTCTTTTGCTAGAAGCTTGAGGTTGAGTATGAACTTATTTATTTGAGTTTGCTCTGTTTTATTGAGGTAAAAATTTACCACTATACATTTCCCTCATAAGATTGCTTTCATTGCATCCCGTAAGTTCACATATGTTGTAGTGGCATTATCATTCAACTGGAGAAATTGATTAATTTCTTTCTTTAGTTTTATCTATGACCTATTGGTTGTTCAAGGAGGTTTTACTTAATTTCTTAGTGTTTATGAAGTTCTTGTGCTTTCTTTTGCCACTGATTTCCAATTTCATTGCACTATGATCTTATAATATGCCTGGGATAATTTCAATTCCTTTGCATTTACTTAAGAATATTCTATGAGCTAGTACATGATCTATTTTGGGAACTCCCATGTGCTGCTGAGAAGAGTATATGTTCTGTGGTTGTTGGGTGAACAACAATTATGTATTTGGGTACATGTTCTGTAGCTATCCACTAAGTCCATTTGTTCAGAGGCTCAGTTCAGATTTGATATTTCTTTGTTGACTGTGTGGTTGATCTGTCTATTTGTGACAGTATGTTACTGAGGTCCCCCAATGAATTAGTGTTTTCATAGTTTTTCAGATCCATTAGTGTTTGTTTTACATGGTTGGGTGCACTGATATTGGGTGCATATATGTTTATGATTCTTATCAATTCTCTTGGATTACTCCCTTAACAAGTATATGGTGGCCTTCTTTGTCTCTTCTGATCCATCATTGCTTGAAATCCACTTTGTCTGCAAGTAGTATAGGTACCCCTGCCTTTTCCTCAGTTCCTGTCACATGGAATATTGTTTTCCATCCTTTAACTTTCAGGCTATGAATACTTTATTGAGTTAAATCTGTTTCTTGTGTGGAGCATATTATTGAATCTTGTGTCGACACATTCTGTAAATCTGTTTCTTTTGATTGGAGAATTGAGACCATTCACATTGATAGCTATAACTGATTTATACTGATTTATTCTTGTCATATTATTTTATTGTTGCTGGTTACCTTTCTTCCCTCCTGCTTCATTGTTTCCCTTACCTGGTGGATTCGATCTACCAAGGTTGTTGGAATTGGTGTCTCCACTGCCTCTTTCTAGACTATCCTTCAGAATTATTTCTAGTGGTGTTATGGTAGGCATGAACTCCTTCAGGTGTTCTTTATTAGGGACATATCTTACTTCTCCATCAATTTTAAAATGTAATATTTCAGGGTGCAGCAGTCTGGGTTGCAGGTTGTTTTCTTTTAGGGATTGAAAGACTTTACTCCAAGCCCTCCTTGACTTAATGATCTGTGTTGCAAAGTCTTATGGGTTTTCCTTCATAGGTGATTTGTTTCTTTTTTTATAACAGCTTTTAATATTCTGTCCCTGCTTTGAATTTTTGAATCTTGACAATTATGTATTTGGGTATGAGTTTTTTGTTTTTTTTTCTGATCATAGCTAATCAAATTATTTTCCCATGATTGGGAACTTTTCTGCTATTACTTCTGCGAATAGGTGTTTCATGTGATTTGTGATGTCATCTGATTTTTCATTGATTCAGATTAACCTTATATTCTTTACATCATCTTCCAGGTGTTAGACTGAGTTTTTTTTCATGGTCTCTTGCTACTTTTAAGGAATCTTCCATTTGATCATCACCAAGCACAGCCTTGTCTTCAGACGTGAAATTCTGTGTTCACATTGGTTCAGTGTGCTGCTTACGCTTTCAGTAGAATATTTAATATCCTGGATATCTGTTTTACGGTATCCAGTTCTTTCCTTAGGTTGGGCATTCACGGTTTTCCCAACCACCTCTATTTCTTTTTATCTATTTCTACTCTAGATTCACTGATCATTTCCTTCAATATGGTCACCATCTCTTGTGTGTGTGCTTATGTCTGATTTGTTTTTATCTAGGTATTTCTTCATCTATTTCATTATTTCTGCTGGTACTCTTTCATAAAATTCAGGTGGGAGGCTTTGCAATTCTTCCACCTTAATGCCCTCTGGCCTTGCTATAAGGAAATTGGGTGTTTTAGATTGCACCTTGCTTATGTGTTTTTTCACTTGCTACTTTTATTTTTGTTTGTTTTCTGTCTTTTTAGTAAATGGTCCTGGGAAAATTGACTTTCCACATACTGAATAGTAAACCTAGACCCATATTTCTCATTATGCACTGAGCTAAAATTAAAATGTACCAAGTGCCTAAATATTAAAAGGGAAACACATAATTTACTAGAGAATAAATTAGGTAAAACTCAAAGACATAGGTGTACGGAAAGACCATATGAGCAATATAGCAGTCACACAACACATACTAAAAAGAATCAACTACTAGGATCTCATCATGCTAAGAAGCTTTTTTGCAGCAAAAGAAACCACGGAGTTAAGAGGCAGCTCACACTCCAAATAAAGAAGTACAAGGAATAAATAAATATGTGAAAAAATGCTCAATATCACTGGTTATTCAAAAAATACAAATTAAACAGCCCTAAGATTTCATCTCACTCCAGGAAGAATGGCTATTATCAAGAAATCAACCCATTACCAATGCTGGTGAGGATGTGGGGGAAAAGGAACCTTTCTCCACTGCTGGTGGGAGTGTAAATTTGTGCAAACATTATGGAAATCAATATGTAGAGTCATCAGAAAACTAAAAGTGGAGGTTCTATTAGACACAGTATTCCCTTTCTTGATGTTTTGCCAAGAGATATTAAAAAGCATCATATCAAAGGGATATATACACACCCATGTTTATAGCAGCACAATTTATAAGAATTAATCTTGGAAACAGCCAAGATGCCCATCAGCTGCTGAAAATATGGTTTTTCTATACAATGGATCATTACTTTGTCATAAAGAAGGATAAACTTACGATATTTTTATGTAAATGGATGCCATACTTGTAAGTGAGATAAATCAGACACATACTGGATATGGAGATACTGGAGACCAGATACTGGAGACCATACTTGTAAGTGAGATAAATCATACACATGTTTAAATAATGCATTGCTTCTCTTATGAAAAACCAAAACCATAAATAAGGACAAAAATGGATGACAGATACTTGGAAGTAGGAAGAAAACATTCAAATGAGAAAAGCAACAAGAGAAGGCATAAGGGAAAGGAAAGGAAGGGAAAACTCAAAATAAGATTATGGAAGGGAAAAATGAAGACAGTGCTTTGGTGAATGGGGAGAAGGGTGGGAAGGGGAATGGAGAAAAAGGAATTGAGAAAGATTATGCACAGGTACAAATTTCCTATGAGGAATGTGATCTATACAAATGACAAAAATGCAGTGATAAAAATAAAGTTTAAATATGTAAATAAACATATCAAAATATTTTTTAAAATTATTTTAATCAAAAAATGACTTTTTAAATCTTGATAGATTTCTGAAAAAAAAAAAAACAAGTAAATATTTCAAAGTTAGAGTTCTCCTCATATGAGTAGGAAATATTTTCTAATACTTTTTCCTCTAAACATTAAATAAGATTGGTAATGGGTCAAAGTGTTGCCCAGTGTGAAGGTTTATAGTAAAAGTGAGGAATATGACTCCATTCTCTGCATTGGACAGTGTACATGAACTGATTCATAAATAATGATAATAATGAGAACAATATAATTATACCTGGAGCATAAGGTGGATAATTTAGCCCATAATTTCTGCACTGGTTAGTAGTTGTTCCATTTACAAAACTTGATGGTTCATTCATATCCTTAAAGAGAGAAAAAATGATTTTAGTAAATGTAAAACATATATTCTGCAAAGAACTAATTCAGAGAGCAAATAAATTAAAATGTCTTTAAAATTTTATATTTACTCAATGTTTTAAAAAAATTAAAAATATTAAATGCCATAATGAAATTAAAGGATCTAGTTTAGCTCATTGATTCTTAATTTTTGCATCCTATTCCTTTTATTGAGAACCATGATGTCATTTTTAATGTTATTTTAACTGTGCTGTACCCAACAAAAGTGATTAAGTTTTATTTTTCCAAGACATGAAATAGGACAGAAAAACAGGGTGAATCCTACTGCCTTAATTAATTTTCTGATTGGTGAGACCAAATTACAGATGTCCAAAGTTAAAGGCAGGAAAGTATTTTGGAGCTCACACTTTGTAGAAGTTTTAGTTCATAACTGACTAGCTCCAAGGTAGAGGGGCGTGGCAGAGAGGCATCTCAGAGTGGAAATAGTTCACAGCAAGCAGCAGGTAACAAAGCAGCAGGAGACAACCAACAAGCGACAATCAAGGGTTCTTTTTGTTGTTTATATTGTATTTAGGGTACCCATCCTTTGGGTGGTAACACTCATCCCAGACCTATGCCAAACCAATCAGCAGACTGCTGAGGTAATCACAAACCTTGATCCCAGCATTACACACCCTTGGTGCAGCTATCTCTGAAAGAGCACCACCTATGATTATATATGGCTTTGGAGGGACATCTAGACATAAGCCATAACATTCTGGCCCTAGTCCCCCAAACTCACACACATCCCTTTATGCAAAAGGCACTTAGTCAGTCTGCAAGAGTTGCCAAAGTCATTATAGTTTCAGCACTGCTGCAAAATCTAATCCAAATCATCTCTGAGATTTAAGGCAAACTCTTAGCTCTAAGCCCCCGTACAAATGAAAAGAAAATTAAACACTTCCAACATTCAACGGTACCGGGTAGAATTTCCATTCCACAAGTTACAAATAGGGCAATACAAAGAAATGAGAGCAAATCAAGTCCAAAATCTAGCAGGACAAACATTAAGTCCTGCAGTTCCATGTGCAGCATCTGAGGAAATCTATAGCAAGATGTGAACTCCAAAGGCCTTAGGTGGCTCCACCCTTACAACACTTCTGATGGTTGTAGTATTCAGGGTTTCTCTCTTGGGCCAGCTTTGCTCTCTCCCTACAACTTTCCTTCAAAAATCCATGTTGATGGCTTCTCAAACATTCTGGGCTCTCCACTGCAACTTTGGCTTCACAATCAAAGACTCATACCCAGTGCCCTCTCAGAGGCACACTGCTGGGCCTTCCAGGCCTTCTTCTGAAATCGGTGGGGGGAAGCCTTCCTGACCTCACAACTTTGCATTCTGCATGCACGTAAAACCAGCACCACGTGGATGATGCCAAGATCTCCTTCCAGCTGGAGCAGTAACCAGGCTTCCTTCTGTCTTGTCTGTCTTGTCTGTAAGGGTTGAGTGGCTAGATCACTGAGCACTCTGAACCCAACCCCAGGGAACAGCTTCCCTAACACACTGCCATTCTTGAACATAGTGTGGTGAGACTCTCTTCTCAAAGCAAAGTCTTTCACTTTTGCAATTTTGCAGCTCCAAAAGGTGGAGACCTGCTGGTTCTTCTGAATGTTCTCAGGACATTTTTTCTATTTTCCTGTTCCTTCTCAGTGATTAAGTTCTCCTCTGCACTACATTTGTAGCCCACAGCTTTCCTAGAACCTCCTTTCTCACAGCATTTCAATTCACATTCCTGGGGTCTTTGCTCTCAATTCTTAACATAGATCTGGCAAAAATCTCCCAACTGTAGCCATGCCACAGCCTCAACATTAGACTGTCTTGAAATTTGTTCATCAAGATTAATTAGTCTGCCATGCTTAGTCTCAGGCAAAGTTTCTAGACATGAGCAAAATGCAAACAAACTTTCTGCCAAGCCATAACAGAAATGTTAGTAAGTCCACCAGCCAACACAGTCCATCTTCCCAGTCCAAACCTCTTGAACCTTGTCTTTACTGGCAGCATTTCCAACAGCACTCTGGTCCTCTGAGCTCTGACCAGACACTCCCATCAATACAGCTTCGGGTATCCCAGGGCTGCTTTTCCTTCCAGCATCTCCAAAACTTTCCAAACTCTTCCCACAAGCCAGATCCAAACGCTCCTGAACCCACGATCAGGTGTAGTGGCACAACAACCCCACTTCTCCGGTCTCAAATCATATCTTAAGTAACTTTGCATTGTTGAGACAAAATGCCTCATGCACAAAATTAAAGGAGCAAAGGCTTATTTGTCTTACTGCTTGTAGAGGTTTCAGTCCGTAATTGGCTGGCTCAAGGTAGGATGCATGGCAGAGGAGGACAGGTCACGGTAGGCCAAAGATAGCAAAGCACGGATGTGACAAAGCACGGATGAGCCATAAGCAACAACAGCAGCGTCTTTCTGTCCATTTTGTATTCTGTGTATGCTGCTCATCTTAGTTGAGGTATCAAAGCAATCAGTGGACTACTTTCATAATCACACATCCTTAATCCCAGGATCACATACGCCAGATCCAGTCCCTCTAAAAAGCCCCATCTATGACCACATGCCACTGCAGGGAAACATCTAGACACAAGCCAGCTGCTGCTGAGGTCATGCAACAGAAAGGCAGGGATCTTTAATATGAGAAGCATACCTCAAATTTAGAAACAGGGTGTGACATGTTTCACCCTGCATCATGCAGTTAATCATTTGTGAGCTAAGGCTGAAAGAAAATGTATTTGAAAATGTGCTGTAAATCTTAGATCACAAACAACCATTTTATTGGGATTGTTCAAACATGACGCTTTAGATTCCAACTTTTTAGGAAGTTTGGGTTTATAGTTATGTTCCTGAGACCAGGATTCAGAGCTCCTGATAGAAATCACCAAGTTCTCATTTTACAAAAACTGCAGCAATAATGACCCAACATTAGGGCAACGTTGACTTTGGTGTTGACCTTGATAGAAGTGTGTGAGCTGAGTGTATCTAGGAATGCCACAGTGCACTCTGATATCACGAGGCCATACTGTTTAGGAAACAACGTGTGTGGGAAACAGACTAAGAAGTGGACGAACAGCGCCACCCTCCATTACCACAGCAGTCTATATCACGTCGCTTTTATTTTTTTTTAAGAGAATAAAATAATTAATAAAATAATTTTTAAAACATTGGAAACAATGCAGAATTTCACTAAACACGATGATAGGAATTCAACCACAACTTTACAGTGTGTCCTCATCCATCTTATGCATTGGATCTGGCGTCTTTCAAGTTCCGGCTCTTCCCCAACATCAAAAAGACCATGTCAGGTAAATGTTCTAAATCAGCTCAGGCAGTGCCACTGAAGATTTGAAAGAAGACTTCAAAAGTTGCTTCAGAAAGTGGCAAGGATGATGGAATAAAAGTATTCGACATGAGAGTAGATATTTTGAGGGGAATTAATGGCAATGTGTCTTTTACTTTATTAAGATTGTTTACATTTAAATATTCATCATATGTTGCAATCATACTACTTAAATTTTATATTTATACATTATCACATATAGTAATGTATGTTTTAACTATATCCTCTTAAATGCTAGTATATTATCTCAAAATTGCACTTTTAAAAATGTTAGCAACGTTTTAAAGTTTTATCTCAAATAAGGAAATCAAAAAATAATGTCATTACATTTATAAGAGTTCATTTCTTACACAAATGCCTGACCATTACTTGTGTGAGATTTATTCCTATATTGAATAAAAATAAACTAAACATTTACAAATATTTATTTCTAGCAAGGAAAGGAGGCTATTTTTGGTCCCTTGATAAAGTTGAAAATGTCTAGGAAATAGAATTCATATGCATTTATGAAATTGCTAATGCTATATTTTTACACATGTTTACATAATAAAGTTGTGTAAGAGAACACTGAGCCATTAATTGTTGTTTTTTTTTTTTTTTTGGTTTTTCTCCGGTACCGGAAACCGAACTCACAACCTTGCGCTTGCCAGGCAGGCGCTTTTGCCGCTGATCTAAATCCCCAGCCCTGAGCCATTAATTGTTAACAAAAAATGTTGTATAACAATTAGAATAAAAAAAAACCAATTAGAATGAAGTAAAAATTTTCTATTGTCGCTACATAAATACCTGAAAAGATAAAATGCTCAAGGCTTACTTACAATCCACAATCCATCAAATTTCATTTGATCATTGTAGAAATCTATAATTTCCCTTGCCCACCACTCTGCTGTGGAATTCTTGAAGAAATCTGGAAAAGCTGCATGAGCTCTGGAAGCCTGTAAAACAAAAAGTCAGATTTATGTATAGAAACTATAAATAAGACCACATATATCTGGATCAGAAACTTATGTCAGATCCACCAGTCATGCATGAGTGAAAATAAGGCAACCTGACCTCAGCATTAATTACATAAATGTATTAATGTATTTTCCTACCATCACCACAGCTTAAGAGGAGAGAGAAACACACATGCAAAGAGGGGACTAGCCTTGTTGTCCCATGTAGAAAATAAAGAAAGAGTTTAGAACATTCAGAAATATATTTACAGTGTTTCTCTTGTATTCTTAGTGTCTATAGTTTATGTTTCCCTCCCTGAAGCATGGGGGAGGATGAAAGGACTTATACTTTAGACCTTTTCTCTAACTGAAAATTGTATTTACCCACTTTTCTGACCACCACAAGCAACATATTGTCCAATATGCCAATCAACTCTTTTCTCTTTCTTTGCTGCATACAATCCTTCCAATATGAACATAAAAGAGAGACTTTATTCCATTTCACGTCAGTGAAATCCCCTACTTGCTATTTCCCATAAATAAGTTCCAAGGCCAAGGTGACTGGGTGAGCAAGATTGACCTTGAGCAGCTATTAGAAGTGCCTGAAACACATGTCGTAACAGGAAGGCTTCCTCAGAACATCTTGAAACTAGTAATTGCTGGAGCCCTCATAAAGAGGATATGAGAAGGAAATGTGCATAGATAAAATGCAAAGAGCCTACTGTTATATAGAGATGAAGAATATATTGGATATTTTCAAGGGACTTAACGCTATTATTTTGCCCAATCACTAAATTTTGCTTCTGAAGATGGGAAGCTTCAAAGTGTTACATTTGATGAATATATCTGTGCTAGGATTTTTCCCCAGATCACATAATTAATTCGCAAGATGGCACTAGATCTTTTCTAAGTTCCATTTTTCTGCTTTGTAAGTCCATTCATTTGTTGGTTTACTGCTTTCCTTTACATGACTGCTCTGGTATCTTTGACACAAATCCTTGTACCCAGAAAATTTATCAGACACTGGTACACCTCTTTATACATGCTGTAATTTAAACCCTTCTGGTGAGGTTGAAGCTTTTCCCCACCATCTATATAAGAAGTCACGCCTTGTTTGTCTGGTTTTACTACTGCAAGAAGTCACTTCATCTCAAATTAAAACAAAACCCTGACATTCTTCCTCAACAATATAGTTAAATGTATTTAATCTTTTGCCTCTGATTTAGAAATCATTTTGATAAGTTTTAAGCTTCCCTGATATTTTGCATGTATATGAAAGTGTTTGATTTAGTAATTATAATTTGGTTGACTTACAAGGATTGCCAGGCTTAATTTGGTTGATATTTTTCTATTGATTTATCTTTTTATTTCATTTTTTTCTGCTTACATCTTTGCTTCCTTCCTTATGATAATTTGGGGCTTTATTTTTATTTTTTCTAATTCTTTGAGGTAGAAAATTAGGTTGTTTGAGATCTTCCCTGTTTTTCAATATATTTATTGTCATACTTCCTTCACAACTACTTTTACTGCATCCTGTGAACTTTCATAACTTGTATTTTCCTTCTTGTCTCAAGGTATTTTCTAATTATTTACTTTTTCTTTGACATTCTCATTCAAAAAATGTGCTAATTTCCACAGATTTATCAACATTTCAGTTTTCCTTCTGCCATGGATTCCTAGATCCACCTCACTGTGGCTGGAAAGGGTACTTGTTATGATTTCAGTCATCTTAAATTTATTTTGACTTGTTTGTTACATGAAATATGATCTGTTCTAGGCGGAGTCACATGAGAAAATTATACATTCTGCTGCTCTTAGGTAGAATGTCCTACATGCTTGTTAATTCTATTTTGTTCAGTATTACATAAGTCTACTATTCCATCGTTAATTTTATCTCATTTGTTTTATCCATTACTGAAACGTACTACAGACTGAATACTTTTACTCTTATTGAATTACTACTTTTCTCTTTAATTCTGTCAGTGTTTGCTTTCTGTGTTTATTTGCTGTAATGTTGCATATACCTATAACTGTTACATCTCCCTGATAATTTGACCTTAGTATCATTATAAAGTCAAATCCTTTTCTTGTAACAGGTTTTGACTTAAAATCTATCTTTACTGAAGTGTTATATTTCTTTCCTTCTTGATATCACTTACATGAAATAATTTTCTTAATTTATTTCATTTTCACAAATGAACTTTAAAGGTACTATTCTGAGTGAAACAAGCCAGTTTCAGGCAAATACTGCATGAGTACTTGTATGATTCTACTTATACGAGGTATCTAAAATTCTCAAATTCACAGAAGCAGATAGTGAAATGGTGGTGGCCCAAGGTTATTGGTACAGTAAAGTAGAGAATTGCTAATCAGCATACATAAAATTTCAATTATACAAGATGAGGTTCTAGAGACCAGCTATATAACATTGTATTTAGGATTCATCACATAAAAATTAATTGAGGGTAGGTATCATGTTGAATGTATCGCTCTAAAATAATTCTTATTTAAAAGAATAATTTCCTGAATTAAGTAAAGCATATTTACTCAAGTGACTGACATTTTTATAATAGGAAAAATTAGTTATTACCATCTAATATGACTTAATAAAGAGGATTTTAAAATATGATGCATATTTCAAAGAAAAATATTCAGGTTGAATTATTACTCATTTGATCACTAAGTCCAAGTTCTGAATTTCTGTGAAAGGGTTAATCAATGGAAAACTTACATTAACAGCTTCATCTTCAGTGATAGTTTCATCTATTGTTACATTGGGCAAGTCTGGCCAAACCTAGAGTATATGAATAAAAAATTCAAAATAAATTTAGTACGATATTATTGTGATGAAAATTAAGAGAAGTATATGTAGAAGCATGTTATATTGTCAAGATCGGTTTGTAATCACCTCAATTTTCTTCAGTTTACTTTCTTTTATATGTAATACTCGTGTACTATCCCTGTTTTTCATATTAATCTATTCTTTAAGATAGCAAACATGAGAAAGCATTGTTAACTTCTGTTCTGGTTAGTGATTTTGGAAACAATGCATGTAATCAATAGAATCAATTAAGAAGTAATATGAATAGTATATACCAAACTGATTTGAAGCAATGTATGAACCATATTTCTAGAATTACTACAGGATTAAAAGCTAAAAATACTAAATATGTTAATTTAAAAGATTTGATTGAGTAATGTCATTCTAAAGGATACGAACCCATTAATTTTTAGGGTTAAATCCCTACCTCTCTGCTGTTTTACTGTCTAGAAACATTTTTCTTGACTCCACTCAAAAATACATAAAACGGAGCCCAAATTTCATCACTCTGAAAGCTCTAGAAATTTGAATTCATGTTGAAAAACCTAGATAATGAAAGTACTCCTTAACTAATTAGGGATGAAGAGACACTAAACATTAACAAGGGATAATGCTTCAAGTAGTGAAAGAGAGAACAAAAATATGAGGGGATATGTAAATATATAGGATGGCAGTAAAGTAGGAAAAGAAAAATCTCTTGCTATGGCCAATATGCCATATCCCATATTAGCACGATTCTTCAAAGGTTATTATATTTCAGTAATTTCATCACTCATTTTTATCATTTTATTTTGCAATATTTTAGACTTACTTAAATCCTGAAAAAATTGTCTCTAAATTTGGCCGACTCCTTTCACTCAGTATCTTTTAGTATTAACAGATTGTATGGCATATTCTACAGGGCAATGATCAAATGATTAACCTGGGTACAATACAATTATATAATATATAGATTTTGTTTTAATATCACCTCTTTTATCACTAATGTCTTAATCTTAACATCCAAAAAAATCATGCAATTTCTATCTTTCATGGTAGGAGTTTCTGAGGTATTTTAATTCTAGACATTACCATTAGTTGTTTTACTCTTCATTATTTTAAAGAAAAATCAAATTATATTCTACAAAATTTTCATATACTGAGGTTTAAATATTATTACTTTATAACATTTAGTGAATGATAGTCCTTGTCCACATTAGCAATATAACTTCTAAAAATAAAGTTGCTTCTATCAAGAGAAACAAAAAGACTTAAATGACCCTTGCAGCATCAAATAATAGTAGTTTTATAATAAAACAGAAAAAATACCAAGAATTAAAATGCAGCTTCAAGATAAAACAAACTGCATGTGGTTTTATGATCTGTAGGAACTCCTTATCTGTGCCTATTTATTTATATTGACCTGGAAAAGTACCCTTTTATGTGTATTAAATCACTGTGTATTTATCTTTCCCTCTGAATATATTATTAACCTTTTAATTAAATGAACACTGTCAACAAACTACCATTTTCACAATTCTTCTACTTCGAGATATTAATTTAGTACCTTTGCCCAACAAATGTCACTGGTGTTAGGCCACTTGACAAACACATCTTTCTGCATCCCTCTTTCAAATGCAGGGTAAGGTTCTGTTTCATTTCCTGAAATAGCTGGATCCTAAAATTAAAATCAAAGGTCAACAACATGCGTATGGAATAAAAGTACAACTCCTCAGGTAGCCATTTTTAATCACTATAGTTTTCCACTCTTACATTATCATAAGTTTGTGCTCTCATTGAGACAAACATATTTGCTATAGCTGACTGTCCCCTACATTCTTTAGAAAATTCTAAGAACTTCTAAAAAATGTGTTATCTATCATTTTAAGTACACTTATTAGAATTTCTTTGGTTAGTTCTTTCTTTCCCTGATGAAACTTCTGGTGATTTAGATTGCTCCCTATGAGACACTGATAAAATATTCTGAATTACTAAAACGATGGGAACTAGGAAGGCATCTTGATATTCAAACCTAGTGGTAGACTTCTCTCTCTAAAAATAAACCTGGATACAAATCTATGCAAATACAATGAAACATTGCAAGAAGAATGACTCTGATTTGAGTTGAACGTAAAGTTACACACTGCCTACTTCGAAACACATTCCCTTCCCTCATTTTAGGTGCATTAAAAAAAATATGATCAGACATAAATAAATACTGACCAGGATTATAATGTATCTCATTCCTTCTCCTCTTATTTTGTCAACAAACGCAGGAAGCCCAAGAAATCTTTCACCAATCGTGAAGTCAAGCTGTCTTTCCATGTAATTAATGTCTGTGTATTGGACATCCTGAAACACACATGTGACCATGGATAAGAAACACACAGGAAGAAGTAGATCATATTCTGTCTACTTAGGAAAGTAGCAGCAAGATGAATGCTTCAGTTCCTCGTCCCTTGATCCTAAAGAGAATTAATTAATTGTTGCTGTCTTCAAGGAATAAAAGTGGGATCCACAGATGTATACTAAGATAATCATATATCATTCTGTATTGTCAAGATTTCACTTAGTAATTTAGTTTTATAACTAAATAGTATAACTCAGTACATTTTAAAGTAACTGTTAAAGGAAATAGGAAAATAAAAAGGAAAACAATTTATGATGCCATGAAACTAAACTGAAAAACTGTAATTTCATATGGCCCGTACAGAAAGAAATGTTGCTATATTTCTAGGACCTATAAAGTAAATCTGGAATAATTTTAAATTGCTCTAATATTAGGGCATAGTAAGAAAGGAATATTAGCAAATCCATCAAGTAGTATAAGATTTATATTACCTGCGAACATCAGTTTTAGAATGACTATCTAGTTTAAGTAACCAAAATATTCTTTACAAATAGACCCTTGGAAATATATTTCAATCGACAAATTTGGTATTTTGTCATAAAATCTTTAATCTGACCTGAAATAAATGAGTTTTTAATTATTTTCTGTTCAATTTATTCTTCTAGCTTTTAAAAATATGGCTAATGTAGTAGGCTAAAAATCAAAAAGCCTCCTTTTTATATTGAAGTTCACTATGTATTTCTTTTTTTTTTTTTTGGTTTTTCTCCGGTACCGGGAACCAAACTCACGACCTTGTGCTTGCCAGGCAGGCGCTTTTGCCGCTGAGCTAAATCCCCAGCCCCCACTATGTATTTCTATATCAACTTTTCTACAAATAGCTTTCCCATAGTAATATATTCTTCAACGTTGGATTCTATTGTCATTGCTAGTGTCTTGTAATGGAATTTTTTGCTTTTTCTTAGAAGAAGCTCTCATGTAGAATTGTATATTTCAATATTTGTTCCTAGAGGATCCCTGGGATTCCCCAATCGTGTTAAAAAGTGAAATTACACAGGCTGATTGTCTGTGGTACTCGGGGACTTGTAACTTCCCAGTCTGGAGTGTACAAAGCATGTCACAAAGCCTCTCTTTCTTTCTTTTTTTTTTTTTTTTGGTACTGGGAATCAAGCTCAGGACCTTGCACTTGCTAGGCAGGCACTTGTGCCGCTGAGCTACATCCCCTGCCCCCATGCCTCTCATTCTGTGTTATGCATTAAAAATATTATTTATTCCAGGGCTGAAGCCTCCAGGTTGCCCCAATTCCTTCTGTGTAATTTGTATGATCAGTTGATGATATATGTTTCTATGTATTTGCTCTAACATAAGGAGAGCATGCAGAGTGTCCCTATACATAACCCATAATTTATGAAAGCAAATCCTGTGCATGAAGATTTGCATAGTAAAACTCAGGATTATGAAACTGAAGAGAAGGATGGAAAGCAGATAGTACTCTCTTTTCTTCTTCCACAGTCTGATAAAGGGAGCTGGGAATTTAGTTCAGCGGCAAAGTGCCTGCTTGGCAAGTGCAAGGTCGTGAGTTCGATTCCTGGTACCGGAAGGAAAAAATGAAAAACAAACAAACAAACAAAAAACCACAATCTGATAAAGATATACAAAAACCTCATATCCAGTTCATAAAGTGCTACTAAAAATTAAGCATCATTAAGTGCTTAAAATAATTCTAAAGTGCATACATGGTTAAGCATTCCATTTGGTTTTACATAGTCTAAAACTAATATACATACGTAAGGGATCCCAGCAGACACCATTCCATTATAGAGCTGCTCAATCTCTGATGTATTTCTGTATCCATATCGACATAACTGGAACCCTAAGGACCAGTAAGGTGGCATGACTGGATGGCCAATCACCTTTAAAAAATTATGACATGTCAAAAAAGAGAATTGCTTTGGCACATAAAGAAAACTTTATATTTTTAAACACAAATGCCCAATCATACTTCATGGTACTGCATTGTGGCAACTTCGGGAGTTGGGCCCAAAAACACGTAAAAGTCCAATATTCCTCCAATTGTGCGGTAGGTGAGAGCCGGCGTTGGCTGGAAAGTGACGTCTGCAACACAAAATAAGATGCTGTTTTTTCTATGTATGAGATATTCAGTTATTCACATGTCACATTTACCCTTTACATGGGAAATTCAACAAACAGTTCTGTTACCCATCGCATTGCTGTTGAGTAAGAGAACTCCATGAGCATTGCCTTCTTCTTCCAGAGCCATATAATAGGGATGGAATCCATAGGAATTCATTTTATACTGAAATATAAAAGCATGATACAAATTTCACAACGAGCTCTCAGTCAACGATATTTTAAAATTCATTGTATGATTAAGCCTCAGAATTTGAATGTTCTTTTTTGCATACACAAACTGTGCTTAAATTGACATAAATACACTTGAACATTAGTGCTTTAGAGCAGAAAAATGAATATATGCAGCTAAAGGAATTAAGATATGCTACGTACAAGAATGGAAACATTGTGTACTGTGAACACGTGTTAATAAAACAATTTTTAAAACTGCCACATTAACTGATATAGAATTTTTCATTAAAACTTGAATAGTTGGGTTTCTTTCCACAAGGTTTATGGTTCTGTCTTCCTTGATTGATAAATTAACAACTCTTAGAGTCTGAAACAAAAAACACAAGTTCAAGCCCTACCTGGGCCACTTAGTGGCTTAGCAACAGCTTGTCTCAGAATAAAAAGAATAAAATGAACATGGAAAGGCCCTGGGTGGAATCCCCAGAAAATAAAAGAAAGAAGAAAGAAAGAAAGAAAGAAAGAAAGAAAGAAAGAAAGAAAGAAAGAAAGAAAGAAAGGGCAATTCTTTTCTATAATAAAATATGAAAGAAATTTTTGAAGTAATAGAACTGATCAGAGTCCAGAAAATAAGTTTGTAAAACTTATGAACTTTTAGATTCATAAAACATTAAATTCACTTTTCCACATTTGATTTTCAGTAACTTTTAGTATGTGAATGTAAATTACATATTGAAGATGAAAATTATATTCATCGAATAATATGTATACTAGTAGTGCAGAACTCAAGTGAATTTTGTTTTTTTGTTTTTTTGTTTTTTTGGTTTTTCTCCGGTACCGGGAACCGAACTCACGACCTTGCGCTTGCCAGGCAGGCGCTTTTTGCCGCTGAGCTAAATCCCCAGCCCCCTCAAGTGAATTTTGATGCAATGCTCTTTTAAGTTACTGCCAATGAAAACCAAACTTTCTTTTGAAATACTACAATAAAAATAAAAGCTGCTTGTCTTATTTTGCTATCCTACCAATTCACAATAAAAATGCTTCCAGTAATATCCACATTTGTAGCTTTGTACTGAATCTAAGCATGTATTATGTGTGAAAAATATATTTTTCTTTTTAAAATAAAACTATGGTACACATGAACAATTGTAATTATTTGTTGAGCAGTTCATTAGATATTCATAAAATGTATTCAGTTAATAAGACAGAACTCTAGTGAAGTCTCCTAAGTACATAAAACATTTTTAAATATGTAGCTAAACCAGGTGCTTTGGAACAGGTCTGTCATCTCAGCATCTGAGGTGGTTGATGCGGGAAGATCGTAAATTCCAATCCAGCCTGGCACGTTAGCCGCTTAATGAGACTATGAAAAAGAGAGACAGAGACAGAGACATGGAGAGAGAGAGAGACAGAAAGACAGAGACACGGAGGGGAGCGGGGAGCAGCCCTGAAATCCTTGGGTTCGATCAATACCAGTGCCCAAAACAGAAAGGAAAATAAATGATCTAAAAATGCACAGCTGCACTTCAGAACTATAAAGCGAAAAGGTCACTTCAAATCACTACCAACCAGCAATTTTGAAAAAGTATAATAATTAAGGAGAAGCCTAGGCAGCTGTTTTCAGCTATAGTAAATATATTGTCTTCTTTTTTATGCAGTTGAAAGAGTGAAGAAATTGGATCACGACCTGACTTCTCAACTTAGTCCAGCAAGGCGTTATCTTGTAAATTACGGTAATTTAGCCCCACCCCCCACCCCCACCCCGCTCCAGAGAATTGTAATGGAAACTCTGGACAGCGTTAGCTTCTTCCTCAACGCTCAGCTTTGAGCGGAGCAGCGCGCACGTTCACGGCGATCTGAGCTTCTCCCGCTGCTCACACAGCGGTACCCACCCCAGGGGGCTGGTCTCTGGTGAACATTCCCCACGTGTGCCAGTTCAGGTCCCGCTTAAACGCCGTGTGCTCCGCTTCCCCAAAGCCGTATAAGTAATTTGAGGGCAGGCGGGTAGAGATCTGGATGAACTGGTTATTGAAAGTGAATCCAGGCAGATGAGAATCCCAGCTTTAAAAAAAAAACAAAAGTCTGTTCTTGTACAAGTATGAAAGAGTAACACAAAAAATGATAATTCTTTCTTTGACATCAGAACACAAATTGTTTTTCTCTATTTACCTAGCTATAGCCGTGTCTGCAATGGATATAGATAATTAAGCAACACATTTTTAAATCCAAATAAGGTGTAAAATATATTCCATGTACTCATATGAAACATAACATTAATAACATGCTTGTACATATTTAGATATGTATTTCTTCTAAAATAAAATTAATGTGTGATTATATGTGACTTAATATGTCCTGATAATTGTACATCATCCACTTACTTTTTCCCTTGAGATAATCACTGTAAATATTTTTATATATGGAATAAAAATAATTTAATATTGCAATGAACTAGCAGCATAATGATATTTTGATTCTTCCCAATCACTACTGGATTTTTTTTTTTTTTTTTCTTTTCTGCGGTACCGGGGATCGAACGCAGGGCCCTGCGCTTGTCAGGCGCGCGCTCATGCCACTGCGCTACATCCCCAGCCTTCCACTGGAATTTTTCTTCTTTTATTTTACATTCACAAAAATTGATGTTTGTGACAAAACTGTACCAAGAAGGCGCACTGTTATCCAAGTGATCTGCAAGAAGAATCTAATGGAGGATTTAAAAGTAGGACAGGCATGAAGAGGAAACATAAATATCACAAATAATCCGAGACACATTCAAAATTTTCTATTAATTACTTTGAAAAATAATTTAGTAGAAAATAATACCTCACCCCTCCAAGAAATAATAATACCCCTTCATCATGATTATTTTTACAAATTGAATTAGGGTCTCATCCTTTTGAACAGTCTTGTTTTATTGAGTTTGTCTTAATAAAAAATTAAGCCAGAAAAGATAGAGTTATTCATTCTGACAGTACCTGAAAACACTCTGACATCATGCAAATTCTAGTATGAGTTTAAAATACAAGAAAAAAGGGACAAAAAGGAGGAAGAACCTGTGTCAGAACAGGAAATAGAAGGTATAAATATGATTAAAATACAATATTCACATTGAAACCGCCCTTTCAGAACTATGTGAACTTGCGGGCCAGTGACTACAGGGAACCATGAACCTACACATGTGCACTCGAGAATCTGCTGAAACAATTCCATGTATCTGTGTAACTCCTACGCAGTAATACAAAAAGTGAGCAAATAAGAGAACCTTACACACCCAAAGAGGATGCAGGGTTAACTCTTTAGAAAGAAGATTTAAAATTTTCACTCTATTTTAATATACCATAGTTGGGCTACAGTGAAGACAATTTCTTTTTAAATGAAATATATTTGCTATATAAAAAAAATACAGATTTTTATCTCAATTTTATCATCAATATCAGAAAGAGAAAATATTGCCTGTATCACATTTCTGTGGCCATGAACAATTTATATGTTTCTAATAAAATGTTTACATAACTCACCTGCAATTACCCATTTTTAGTAGTACACATGCTTTTCAAGAATTTTGGTTTGGGTTCTCAAGTTGACGGGAAGAATGAGTCTGGTATTCATGAATAAAATTAATCACATAGTGTAAAGGAAATCATCTCCCAGTCCTTTCTGATAGTTGTGTGGATATGTTAACAGTTTAATTATAAAATTCAACTAACTTAGAAGGACTAAAAGTTTTAATATGATGCTGTCCTAGCACAGCGGAAGCTGTGAGAATCATTTTATTTTCCCATCTGCGGCTAAATTTAAAATATCCTTCACGTCTGATACCTTACTTACATAATCCTTCCACTGCTTCTCCTTCTAATCTGGATGCCAAAAGGGTTTTCCTTGATTTCAACATCATAAAGTCTGTTTTCATAAGTGCTCGTTGGAGTGGCTGGAATGTTTAATGGAACTGGAACTTCATATCTCTTATTTAGGGGATCAAAAATCTACAGCACAGAAAGAGTAAAAATAGACATTTTATTCTTTTTATTCATATATAATTATATTTAAATATGTTAAATCATGCTCAAAACATGGATAGCTAGAATTGTTGTTTATATAGTACCTTATTGACCCATAAAACTGTACAGTGTTCTATGTGAAGAAACACAGTGGAACGAAAATGAACATCTCTGCACTGATCCTCTTGAAAAGGTTGTATAATTTTTCTTCCATGCGGAAGAAATCAAACCAAAACTTTTAGAACTAAATATTCCATTCTATGTACATACCAAAAGTATTTATCATTTCATAGTTGGACACTAAAGTTGTTTCAATATTTTTTACCGAACATATAACCCTACAATAAATATTGGCCCTAATTTTTGTTTCTTTGTGACATTATTTCCTCAGTACATTTTCTGGAGATAATAGAATAGTCCTAGCATACTAGCATGTTAGGATCTTTGACACTACTAGCAAGCTACTCTCTGGAATTATTGTCCTAATTACTATATTTTTTTTAGCAAAATATGTACTTGAATATCAATCTGTATTCAATTATATGCAACTGAAGATGTCAATTACAGTCATGTGCTACATACAGGCCTTTTGATCAAAGATAGACCACATACCTGACGTGGTTAGACACTGCGGCCCCTATTCACATTGCAACTGTCAGTGAAGCTCACAATGACATAAGTGCCCAAAAGCCCTTTTCTGAGAATGTGTTCAAGGTGCTATGTGACACTGTCTTTCTTTGTTGACGAAAATGTGAATTTAACTACATGATAGTCAACATTTGTGTTTCACTTTCTCTGAATTTGTTATTTATTCATTTGAATTTTGATGAGCATGAATATTTTCCTAATTTTATTTTCAGTTTTTGTTTTTTCCTCTCAAGTATCTGCTTATGAGGCTTTCATATTCTTCATGATTGTATAAGTTGTGATGGCTTTTTTAATGTATTAAAAGAGATATCTGTTTGTGTCTTCTAATTGTTCATTTTCTGTTGTGGAGACACATTTAATTTTGCATAGCAAAATCTATAGATATATATCTGTAAAATGATTTATGCCTTTTAATCTGTAAACTGTTACTGGCAACGCAGAAGATAAATTCACAGTTAAACTTTGTTTTAGGCTGATGGTTGATTGAATTTTCAGATGCAACCCAATCTCAGTTTTAACATATGATTTGAGGCAAGCAAATTCCTACATGACTTATTAACCTATCTCTTCAATTTTAATTGCTGAAGCTTGAACTATTTTCATTAAAATTTTATACTTTACATACATATCCACATATATATTATGTGTGTGTACATATATTCAGATTTTTGAAGCTTTGGAAACTTCAATAATCTGTCAGGCAATTCTTGTTCTAGCTCCATATTATTTTAATTTTATAAGTTTGTACTATGGTTCCCATTTTAAAATTTTAAATATTGCTATATATATTCACTTTTCTAGTCCAACTTGTTACTTTATGAAGTCTCAATAAATTTTTCACTGTATTTTTTATGGAAAGTTTTAAATTATCACTTAATCTAAAGCTAGTTAACATTACAAACACCACTTAGTCTCCAGAAATTTTTTAGCATTTTTAAATGCCTGTCAGCAATTTTCACATGTTTTACCTTACAGACAATCCACTTATTCCTGTGATGTTTGATATTTTGATTGTTGACTTGATTATTTTTTCATTTGATTTTATTAATGAGATTTGCAGCTGTTTCCACTTCCAAATAATGAAACATAGCATACAATAAAATATCTTGTGGAGATACTATTTTATATGATGCATTTTCTTGATCTTTATTACTTCCAATAGTTTCTTTAATGGATTCCCTGGACTTTTTGGAACATAAAATCACTAACTGTAAATATCCAAAGAATTATTTTTGTAACTTTATTGCATTCCCTACAAAACTGCCTTTGAAGAATAATTGAAATGGTAATCGTCCTGTTGAGTTTATTATAATGAACATATTAACATTATTCAATTCTAAGTGACTTATCTACATAAAAAGGGACTTATTTATTTAACAAAAATTTATTTTTTTTTAATTACCACTGCATCTTTAATCACTATCAAAGTTAGCAAAGATGAAAATTCATTTACTGAGTACCTAGTTACGAACTCTGTAAAAAAACAGAACCACTTTGGTAGGATCAAAATATTCCAACGAAATACATACCCTTAATATTACCCGCAAACTAGGAACAGCTAATCCATTAAAAATCTCTCAGTGAGTTCAAGAGATGAGTCAAGCTTTGAGGTTGCTTATGTTAAACATACCTTAAATTGTAACATATCATTTTTATGATATTTCACTTCCACACGAAGCGTTGAAATCGGCTCAGAAGGTAGTGTTATTCTAGCATTGGCCGTGTTCAACTGCAGGTCAGCTGTTATCCCCGTTGGCAAATACTGAGTTGATGAAACTAAGTAGGGATCAGCCTGTCTAGGGAAGTAGCACTGAGGCGCACTGGGATTAGAAGGAACCTAAAACACAATATATTTTCATTGTCAGAAAATACAAGCATCATAATATCTGTCGTATGATTTACAGCAAAAGGTATCTATTCTGCAGTGTGAGTCATCAAATTGTAAAATGTTATATAAAGTATTTATATTTTGAGTGTAAAGATAGAACAGTAGAGGAGAAAGAGCAAACTTTACAGGTTTTTAACTCAAACAATGAAACTGGATTTTTGCTGTCTCTGCAAAAATTAAGCATATTATGCATAAATTTTGATCATGTATTTGTTCTTACTCTTCATAACTACTGCTTTTTGTTGGTTAAAAATAACTTTCCATTACAACCTTCAAAAACATGTGCATTGGTTCTTTACTTCGTTTATGATGGCATTATTTGAATTCTTTTGACTAGCTATACTTGTTGATTACACTGTGTCAGGACTAAAGCTATGATCTGTGGTCAACAATCAGAGTTTATGGGTTTACACAGAGACGCAAGAGATAGGACCTGAAGGATAAAAATGACTAGCTGCGCTGCTGAAGGATAGTTGCTGTACCACAATCCACCCTTGCTGCCTTCCTTATTATAATGTTAGGAAATACAGTAGTTCATCTACATTTCTCATTCTCTTTTATAGAAGTTGTCTAAGACACGCAAAGCTCCTGGGTATAAGCCAATTAAATTCGGATGGGTTTCGTCTTTTCATCTTTCATGTTCTCTGTGGAATGCAAATATGATAAAAGGAGCGCTACAACTTTAAAGGTAAGATCAAGCAGTAAACATGGAAGAGCCTCAGGCATTAATGAAGTTGAAATGGCTTAGGATTTTTTTGGGTAAGAGACAAATAAGTTCTGTTTTACTTAATCTGCACAGATTTTAGGTGTCAGACGATTCAATACACAGCAGTTTTACTGATAGAAATACTGCCGTACCCATTCCTGCTACCATGCATGTGATGAGCACCAAAAGAATCAGGAATTTTACTGTCAAAATGTCCTCTTATAGCTATTCTTCTCAGGACCACTCTTTATCATTCCATACATTACCTTGTTTACCTTTTTACTGATAGGTCACATTGGCATTGAACTTTGCATGAAAATAAACTGGTAAAGTGATTTAAGAAAACGTTATAAAATCTTGTAAGGTGAATATTCAACATAAAACTTTTTAAATATTTGGATCAACCCCATACTATCTAATTTATTAAATGTAAGATGTGATTGAGTAGTTATTTTAAATGTGCAGACCTGCCTTTCTCTACACATATCTATGTATTTTGAAATTAGAAAAGTTATCATATGGAACATATTTCTGAGAGTTTGGTATGTGAAGTTCTCCCACCTGAGCTTAGCTAGGACTCTAAGAGTTCATATGAGTTGATGTCAGGCTTAAGTAAAAATGAGAAATTAAATGAATACAAGGTGGTTTGGAAGAGTCTCCAAGAAACTAAGCAGTTTTAATGAAGATCTTTTTCTTAAGTCATTAGTAATTTAAGCAATGTTAATAATTTCTTGTCATATTAAACTTAATTTTTGTCCCTTATGTTTGCCTTGTCTATCAGGATAATCAAATTAGGTGTTTAGTACACAGAGTTACAACACCAGAATAACATACTACCCATGTTTTGTTAGTCTCTCAATACTGGATGTTTTTTGTTGATAGTTTGGCAATCTTTTTCCATAACTAAAATCATTCCTACAGCCTCTGTCCCTATGTTATTCACTACCATTATCATACTTAGTTATAGAACTACCAATCTTGAAATATTCTATTTTTACCTTCTCAATGCTGGTACTGCGCCAATGAATGTGGCTGGAGAATTAGAAGCAAGCCTATTACCCATTCTTTCTTTACGTAAGTCAAAAACATTTAGTGGATCTTCCTGATGCCACAGTTAAGTGACTATTTTCTTAGTCAATTCACTATGACGCCGTCCTGCATGGCACCTTTCTCTGTTCTCTGATTACCAAACAAACCTTGCTTATTCTCCCTCTTGTTCTTTAAATATGAAAAAGGGAGGCAATCAGAACTAAAATCGGGACTCATAATCTCTTTCCACTTCTTCAACCTCTGCTTTGTGGTATGTGCTATCTGCTGTCGTCTACAAAGACTTTTCTCCCTCACTTCCTTCTCCTTCATCACTAATCTTGCGCTCCTGTTGGTTATCCTTAGTAGCACGTCTGGATTTCATTTCTCAGATCTTAAAAAGAAATTGCCACCTCACTAAGATCTTCATCTACTGTCTCATTTTTCTGCTTTCTTCACATCAAAATATAGAAGATTTCCGCACACTCGTTGCCTTACTATCTTGGATGGGTCCCTTCGCTTTTTCTTGAATTCAGTGTAACCAGACTTTCACTCCCAAAACAGTCTATCAATACTTTTCTTATCAATGTTGCCAAAAACTTCAACGGTGCCAAGTCTGTATGCCAGCTCTCCGTGCAGACGTCATGATTTATAAGCATAATATGGACAGTTGGTCCGTTTCTCCACCTTATAGTGTGTTCTTTACTTCGTTTCCTTCTGCCAACATGCCCTCCTTTCAACTTAATGCATTGCAGGTTATTCTCACTGTCTCCTTTCTCCTTCCTCCTCATTGTGCTGATGAAATATTATAATGACCCAGAGTTCTATCCTTGAAGTCACCTGTTTCAGGCCATTCCCTTCAGGATGCCTTCCTGACACATGGGTTTCCATACTGCATAAATTTCTTCCACACTGTCTCTGAATTTTATATTTAAGCCACGACAAATTTATCAATTCTTTGGATTGAAAATACTACTCACCTGGAGAGATGCACTTGAGTTTCTCCTGAGCTACTCAAACTTAAATTTTCTGAGACACAACTTTTTCTAACCCTGCTCTGGACTCACACTTTTCCCAATCTCTTTCAGCAACAACGCCTTTCTGTCTCAGTTGTTCAAATCTGAGCTGCTGAAGTCATGTTTTACTCAGCTCTGCCTCTCCTATTCTACAACCAAAGGACAAATTCCTGGGATTTATCTTAAAATTACATGGAAAGTATATTATTTCTTGCTCATCTGATTTGATTTGCCAGTTTTATTTTATTTACATTACTGTCACAATTTGTTTCTTGGTCTCCTTGCCTTGGGCCTCTACTATCAACACAGTTGCCATTAAGAACATACACACAGAAACAGATGAAATGGAAACTCAAATTTTCATTGCGTTCTAGGACCATCTTACCTCACAGCAAAGCTCAAAATTAAAAGATAATCTAATGGACTGATATATGTCATGCCTCTCTGTTCATCTACAATATCATTTCCTGTTCTTCCTCCCCTTATTAGTTATTACAGAGACACTGTTCTTGCTATTTGTGAAGTATTCTAAGCACATAATGACTTCAGATGCATTACACGTTGATGATTCTTCCTTCTGGGATATTATTCTATCTTTTTTTCCTTTCTTTTTGGAAGTGAAATGACATCTTCCCAAGGAACCCTCTTCTATTCAGTAGGTCATTCCATACTATTGGTGCTCTTCCTCCTTTCCCTCTTCTCCTTTATTCTTTTCTGACATGTGTGTGATTAAAGAATATGGTGAATGTCTAAATTTTTAAAAATGTATTATAGTAAAAGACACATTACTCTTAATCCCTTTCAAAATACTCCCCTGAATTCAGAGCACCCATTTCAGAACTGCTTCAGAAAGTTGAAAAAACACTATAAGACTCGGTGGTACACGCTGGTGATCTCAGCAGAGTCTGAGACGAGTACTGCTACAAGACACCCTCAGGGACACAGTGAATTGAAGGCCTGAACTGCATAACAAAAGTATGTGTCGGGGGGCTGGGGATTTAGCTCAGCGGCAAAAGCGCCTGCCTGGCAAGCGCAAGGTCGTGAGTTCGGTTCCCGGTACCGGAGAAAAACAAAAAAAAAAAAACAAAAACAAAAGTATGTGTCACAAAACAAAAGCAATCAGAAGTTGTGGAAACCACACAGTAAATGTGTTCAAAGCGAGGGGAAGTACTTTGAAGGAGATCAATCGCAATGTGTCTTGCTGTAATAATCTTTTTACTTGAAATATCCATCATATATTTTGACCACTCGGGGTACCTAACATAATACGTACCTCTCTTACTATTTGTGTTTCCACACTGCAGCGTGAACTCTGATAGGGTAAGAGGATTTCATTGTACTTATCTCGGGCAGTGACTGGAACACAGTAGTTCTCATAACTACTTTGCAAATAAGTAAGTCGTGTTGTCTAAAGAAACACAAGTAGTTATGTCAGCACCCCAAACAATCGGGTACAGTGTTCGTATCATGTCTGATGTTCCAGCATTAAAGCTTCGTTTGCTTGGTGTAAAAATCTCCAAGTTCATACAATATTAATCATTATGGGGAAAGCAAGATTTTCACACTTTTATGTTTAGCAGTCAATAGTGTTTGTAAAAGTCCTGTTCTCACCTACACTTCAGATTCTGAAGGGAAGTAAGAGAACGTGTTATGAGCGTGTTACGAATGTACTGGGGGCTGAGCGGGGCTTTGGTTGCAGAGCTGCACTTTAAAGAGAAGTTACAGACAGCAATGAAAATACTTTTTTGGCTTTGATCTCCGCATCTCTTTTCCTTCTTGTTTAATTCTGCTTTTTTCAAAAATTTTCCTACCAGTAAACATTGTGCTGCTCTATCAAGCAATGGAGAAAGGAAACCAAAAATTTTTCTGGTATCAGAGATTCTATGTATTGCCTCATACACATGAAGACATTCCTGGGAAATTGCTGAAAATGTATTTGACTTCAGAGGTATAACACAGACATTTAGTTCCTTCACTACATGAAATGACCTTTTTGTTCTTATCAAAACCTAACGATGTGATCAAATGCCCAGCATTTCAAACACAAGCAGAGCAGGAGTTGAGTTTCCCATACTACCTAAAAAATTGCATCATCTGCAGACATCATTCTTCTGTTTAAAAAAAATATGGCATCCACAGACATGATTCCTAGTGAAAGAATATTCCTATTAACTAGCTAGGAGTTATCAATCAGTGGAACGAAAATAATTCAGCACTCAACTTTATACAATTTCACAATTGGTGCAATCAACTTAGTAGACAGATCCTTTTAAAAATTGCCCACTACCTGCAAAACACCTTATTCAACTGAGCTAGTCAACCTATCCTAACTGCCTGGAAAGTAATTTTCACACCCATTTAGGCTGGCAATTGCTAAACTTTGCCTTTGAAGAATTAACAAATATAAATATGCATTAGTTCACAGAGTTGCTAATTTTAAAAGTTTCTTAATGTGAATTTATACACTACAGAATTCAATTTACAAATGTTCACAATGACATGCTTGCGTGGAAACTAGGAGTCTTAATTAAAATTCTTATTACCGTTTCCCACGAACAACCACGCTGTTCGCACACTTCTCTAGTGACAGTGTCTTCATCTGGGTAACAGTTAAACTTCTCTGCTTCAGAGAAAACTTGATTCCATTGAACAGCGAAAGTTCTTCCAAGGTTTAGTTTGAGATCTGTAATTAGGAGAACCTTTGAAGACAAAATAAGAAAAAAAGAAAGAAAGAAAGGGAAACAGAAAGAAAGAAAGGAAGAAAGACAGAAAGAAAGAAAG